CCATATACCAGCGGAAACGAAACTGCACAACGCCGGCTGAAATTGATTGAAAGAACAACAAAAACGAAAGGTGGCACAGAATCCAACAACAGGGACGACTCCAGCCCAGGAACCAGGCATTTTACGAAATCAAGGCAAACGTTTGATGTGCAACCGCGCGAAGACGCCGACGAGGCAGCCAAACAAGTAAAGCAGAGCAAGCAATAGCCCCCAACTCTCCCAACTGACGAACTACGACCCTCAAGCATCCCATCCCATTCCATTCCCGATATCCACCCACAAAACCACTTCACCCACATCCAAGGAGCAATATAAATACCCCACAATGTCGAACTTCTCTGTAACAGACTCGATAATGGAAAATGAAAGTCCCTCTGCGGGATCCATTAGCAGTGACGAGCCTCGCGTCGTCTGGCTAAAGACAGTGATCGCCAACATGCTCGGGGTGTTCGACCCCGTCTACGTGAACACACTCATCCGACAAAATCTTCCAGCTGTGGACGCATTTTTCCGACGGCGCTACGAAACCCAGAACGATCTGGAATATGTAGTCATGTTTGTATGGCGCACTTTCTACGACAGGCTTATCGAAGAGGAGATCACCGTGCTGGAGGAGGTGCCACGTCCCTCCAAGATCACTCTCCCCGACAAGAAGGGCAAAGGCAAAAAGGGCAAGGGCGATGCCCGGATGGCAGGCGGCAAATCGGCAGGCAAAGGTGCTGGAGCAGGAGCAGCAGGAGCAAAGGGGCGCAAGAAAGGCGGTCAGGAGGCACCCAGCGAGAACGAGGCAGCAGCGGTAGGAGCACCCGCACCCGCAGGCGAACAGGAGCACACCGAAGAGGCCACAGGAGGCGAAACCACCGATGCAGAGTTCGAAGGCGAAGGCGAGGGCGAAGAAGAGGCAACCGTGGCAGGCAGCGTGAAGAGCTCCGCCCGATCGAAACGTAAGTGTTACAAAATAAATAATTAAAATAGTAAAACTAAAAAAATCAAAAAAAAAAATCGAATTTATTTTTAAATAAAATACCTCATTTATTAGAAAATTAAAAACTAAAATCAATGTCAAAAATAAGCTTAAATTAAATAATAATAATAATAATAACATCATTTAAATTAAAAAGATTTAAAAAAAAAATCATTAATATTTGCAGCCAGCTCTGATACGGAAAACGGTAAATATATTGGATGAGTTTCCTTTGTTTCTGTTCAGGGATTTTAATTTTAAAAGTTTTTTAGTTTTTCGGCTTCTTCATTTCCCACCATCCTTGGGACGCATAAATTTTTAGCCCGTCCAACTTAATATCAAACGAAAAATCTTGGTGCACACTTTGATTTGCGCTGCCCATTTCACATCATAAATATTTAAGGGCCTCATTTTCGTTTGCCCGGCTAAAATTCATTTCTTTTGTAACTTTTAATTTGAATCTCCGCCGTGCCAGCCAGCCCATCCCGTGCGCCAACTCATTTGATTTTCCATTGCCTGGCAGGGAGATAAGAGCAAAGTTTCGCCGGCTCATTCATTGCATTTAAATGGGAAGTTGCCACAATGCAAATTCCGCCCGCTGCACTTTGTTCCGTTCCATCAATCTCAATCACAAGCGCAATCGCAGAGCTGCATTCGCTTACTCCTTTTTTGACACGCCCACTATGATTTTTTTTTTTTTGCTAATGCACTTTCTATATTTTCCTTTCTCCTAAATCGACTCTCACAGGAGGACGTAAAAAGAAAAAACCATCGTATGTGCCGGTCTACGTAGAGGTGAAGGTAAGTGGTTTGTGAACAAATTTAAAATTTTAAATATTTGCGATAAATAAAATAAAAATAAAAATTTAAATAAATAAAAAAGAAAAGAAAAAGAAAATCAGCTAAATAAGATAATTACAGAAACTAGTACCGGCATACGTCAAGACGCCCGAACTGCACTGCCACTTCGGGAAGATGGAGTCCGAAGACCTGGACCCAAAAATAAAATACGTCTACATCCTGCGGAAGAACCGCCGCGAGATCCGTAAGTAAAAAAAAAAAAACCAAAAACCATTTTTAAATAAATTAAAACTAATAAATAATAATTCAAAAGAAATAAAAAGAAAATAAGAGCCAGAGAATGATGTTGCACAGAGAATGTCTGATTGCAAATGACCAAATTTCCAACCTTTTGAACCTTTTTATAGTTCTTAAAGAAAGGCATAGCCTACTTAGTTGACGCAACTGTCGAATTAAATATTTTATTTTCAACTCAAATTAAATAAAAAAAACCTCTCTTTTTTACTATTTTATTTATTTATGGCTCTTCCACATTTCTTCATATTTTTAACTTATTAACTTTAACGACCTTTTCCAGCCTGCTTCAATGAGATATCGAATTGCTTCGCCGAAATGCCTCTGTTCTTCCTCCTGGGAACATGTCGTGGGTCTCTCATCAACTCTTTGCGCGACGACTTCAACTTGGTAAGTCCACAAAACGTAGTCGGTCTGTAATCGAACATTAAAAGACGCATCAGTAAAACCAAAATCACTCAAATTTTCACCCGATTCACTCATTTCACACACCATAAAACGTTGTTCAATCAATCAACGACTTTAAGGCCCTGGCCTTTGTTTCAAGCCTTCGTTCTTTGGTCTGTTCCGTTACATTCCGTCCCCGGATGTCCCTAGTCCTTCGTCCTGTTGTCCGTTCTCAACCGCAAAACAAAATGTTGTGACGAATTGTAATTAATTCCCGAAACAAGGCAGTCATCTATCAAAATGCCCGCTGTGCCGCAGGATTTTTCCGCTTCACTGCTCAGCGGGATGGGTGTTTTTTGTGGGTGGTGGTGCTACCATTGCCGGTGGATGAGGGTCTTATTGGGTGGGCTGAGCATCACGCCTATCCAAGCGAGCCTTAAGCGGTGACCGCCAACGCAAATTGCTTCATCATAGCTCCAAAATGTGCTGCGGTTTCCATTAGGCTGCCTGCTACCCAGTCGCCACCCACTTTCACTTCTTGGACTTGGCTGGTGGCCTTGCGAATTTTGCGGTTAACACTTGAAAGAAAATCTAGGCAATTTTTCAACCATTTTTAATCAAATAAAGTTCTACTTTGCTACAAAATATGTGCTTTAAAAAGTAAAATATAAAATGTATTTAAAGAGCCAGGTACCAAAATGTATTTTTATTTGGAATTTATATTATTATTTTTCTGTGTGCCAAAAAGCTGGTATTTTGGTTATGGCCCAATGCTGCCGCCATAATATTAGCTTTGCATGAAAATAAATTGGAAAATTTTTGCCAAAAATCAGTTTTTGGAAAATTTACGCGGCGAATCAATTAGAGAGTCTACACAAACCGCTGCCCCCCACACCGAACACCCCCATCTTCCTGCCCGATACTCCATCTTTGGATCCATTGTACATATGCAATTTTTTTGTTTTCTCCCCTCTATGCGGCAGGTTTACAAAAGCGCCATTCAATATCAATTTCGCGAACCGACCACATCGGACAGCCAGCAAATGGACAGTCATGAGGGGCAAGCTGGCGGCGGCGGCGGAGGCGGCGCACCGGGCGACGAGGATATTTCCAGCGAGGCCAAGGAATCGGGCCCGGGTCTATTGGAGCTATCCAAACCATCGGAATTTCGTTTGAGAGCGCTTAAACAACAAAAGTATTTAACTTTTAACAAAGGAACGGCGGCATTCGCTGCTCCGCTGGCTTCTGGGCAAAATGAAAGCTGGAGGGTCTCCCGATTTTTTGAAGGACGGTGGGCGTGCTCCGTGCTCCGCGCTTTATTGGTTTCGAGCTGCTGAGTGGGGAGCCCGCACCACTAGAGTGGCTGACTCCGATTGTGATTGTTGGCTTTCGTATCCTCCCCCTTTAATTTTTCCCTTTTTTTTGTTTGGGTGCAAATTTTTTGTTTGCCTTTGTTTTGCGTTTATCGCTGGTTACCATCACAGCGGCCACAGTTGCCTTTTTTTTCAGCTGCAGAACCCTTTTCGCACATAAATTACAGCGCATCCGATAAGAAATTTTTATTTTTAATCGGATTTCATGCTACCATCAACGGCGCCACCATCGCCGCTGTGTCGTTGCCGTTGTCGTCGGTGCGGCCCTGTTGTCTTCTGGCCGTTTTCCATTTGTTTGGCAGGCAGCATTTATGGCACATCCTGGCGCGCCTCGTTCATCCTTGCATTGGCCTTTCATTGCCGCCTCGCGAATGCCACTTGACCGCCACAGTTAAATTTCTCCCCCTTTCATTTCGGTATATATGTACGAATTTTTTTTTTCCAAGAATGCAGATTAAAAAATGCCAGCCCGAAGTCCAATGTCCGACCCGTCCAGCCGGAGTTGGGTCCATATCCATGACCAGCGGAGTAGCCTTTGTTACGCTTTGTTGTCAGTCCTCCTATTTGTTGCTCATTTTGCTTATCGGGGGTCCTTTCATTACGCTTTGTGTTAATTTTGCATGCCTGCCGCCGTTAATTTCGTTTGTTTATTTGCCACTTTATGCAGGAAGAAAAAGGAGATGGAGGCTGCTGCCAAGAAGGCCGCCTTGGCCAAAAAGGAGGTGGAAGCTGACGATGATGAGGAGCAGGGAGCTGCACTTAAAATGCCGGCGCTTTCATCCTCCGATGAAGAAAGTAGGTTGACCATATAATATTTAACAATCTACTTATTTCTTTATTTAGATTTGTGGTTAAAGTGGTTGAACAAAATTTTAAAAAGTTGTATACAATCTTATAAACCTAAAAAAGTGGCTAAACTAGAATAAAAATGGCTGTGAAAAGAGACAAGGCTTTGACTTGGCTAATTTTAATATTTTCCTCTAATCTGCAGTCGAAATCAAGCCCGAAAAGCTAACGATTGCCCAGCGATGGGAGAAAATGCTCAGTGAGACCAAGGCCAAAGTAGAGGCCGAACATGCCGCCGAAGAAGCAACGCCCCCGCGGATCACGCCCATACAGAAGCGTCTCCTTAAGGAGATCGAGGACTTCCAGAAGGAAATTACTTGGACCATCAACCACATAGTCTGGGCCTTTAGCTTGCCCTCCTCGTATATACTGCCCGACCAGGAGGAGACTGAGTTCGAGGATGCCCTCATTCGAGTGCCCGTCGACCCCAAGAGACTGGATCTGGTGCCCACCTATACCCAACAGCAGTTGGAGGAAGTTGTTGACGGGTGGATGAAGTACCTCAAGAGGACAATGAAAGGACTAAGCGACGCTAAGTTGGACGAGTTTACCCCGATGGCCGAGTACCGCTACTGGCACAGAATGGAAGTGGAGCTATACGGCACCTTGGAGCAGCTGAAGACGGAGTTTGTGATGGCTGTCTTGAATCGCTTGGCCAGCGACAAGTCTACGGTTCTAGTCGAGTGGCAAAAAGTTCTCGAGCAAACAGAGAATCGATTTAAGTTGGCCAAGGAGAACTCTGATTATCTCGGTACCATTACAGACTACTTGGAGGTAAGTTTGAATATCTTTTAATATTTTAAATTCCTCTTGATAATTCCTGGTGTTGATATATTTTCTGTTTAACCTTTAGAAAGTTCGCAGCTATGAAAGCTTTAAGATGGTGGTGCTGCAAATCCCCAATATCATGGTTGGACTGCGCCACATATGGACTATGTCCAGCTACTATTGCCGCGACCCCGAGATGCAGGTCCTTCTCTGTCAAATCTCCAATGTTTTCGTCCAGAAGGTGAAGAGTATCATTAACTTTGAGAACATTTTCAAGTGAGTTCTTAAATGAGTATGTATAAAAGTCATGAGGTACAATTCATATTTCAGATACTCTGCCACTTACACTCACGAGACCGCCACCAACTGTGCCAATCTGCTGCGTTGCTGGAAGCAGGCCTACAAGCTCAGTCGTCAGCATATTGAGGATTCCGGAGCTGGCTCTCGCTGGGAATTCGATAGAGTGGCCCTCTTCAACGAAGTTAATCACATCCACCGAGTCGCCGTGGACATCGCCTACGTGGGTCGTACCTTCATCCAGTACGAGAATCTTTTCGGTCATCGTCTGAAAGCCTGTATTGCCGATCCTTCGATCGTGGATAATCTGATGCGCAAGGTGTACCGCATGCTAGACGATCTCATCAAGACCGTGGACTACGACATGTTTCAGCCGAGCAATTGGGAGAACTGGGAGTATTCGCTGGAAATGTTCAATAAACGTTTGGAGAACGTCGAAAACGAGGCCAAGAACGTAATTGACCAAAGCATAAACTCGCTGCTATCCTCGGAGAAGGGTCTAGATCTGGTGGTCAATGCCATGAACATCGACACTCGGGAGACCTTGCAGGAATTCATGGCAACCAAGCATGAAAACCTCCTTCGGTTCTTTGTCTCAGAAATCAATGTCGTGGATCGTGTCTTCTCGGTAGGTTTTTTTCGTTACCTTCTTAAATTGAAAACTAAATATTAAATATTTTAAATATTTTAGAAATTAAAAAAATCGCCTCCCATGGCCAAGCACCAGCCGGCTAAAATTAGCGCCATATTCTGGGCCAGATTGCTGGGAAAAAAATTAAAGAACTCGGTCCTGGCATTCAAGAAGGTTGAAGATGAGCCGGCAATCAAAAACAGTTTCTTGAAACGCAGCTCCTTCAAGCAGTACTTCGAGCTGATGACCGTAATGTTCCAGTTCGAGAAGGTACTTTTCGAAAACTTTATCCAGAATGCCACGTTTTTGGTTAACCATACAAACCGCTCGAACATACTGGCCGTTCGTATATGCAAGCGCGAAACAAGTAAGTTCTTCCACAAGAAGATTGCAAATAATATACCCCCGATATTTCCGCAGTGTCTTACATATCCGAATCAGTGCAAACGTTAAAGGCCAAGCCGCGGGAGTTGCAAATGAGCAGCTCGAGGCGCATGACGCCGACCAAATCCGCCCTACAGCCTGTGCCATCAGAAGCCCTCAGTGTTTATAGCACAGCCGATTCTTACGGATCGGACGTAAGTTCCTCCGAAGAAGACGAAACCGCTTTAGTGGGGGACGTCTCTCAAAAGAAGCTGATGTGCCGCATCAACAAGTTGACAGTTTTGGTGGCCATGATCATGTGGCTGGTCAGTAATACGCGTCGATCGAATGTACAACTCCAGGAATGCATGGCCTTCATCAAAATGGTCAAGGAAAAGAAGCCCAAGGACGTTACTGCGATGGATAAACATTGCATACGAACGTGCGAGTGTAAGTTTGTGAAAAATAATTTTAAAACTGTTGATATACCATTTAAATTCCCAAATTAGTGCTGCAACGTGCCGAGTCCCAATACCTGCTACCTATTTGGCGGGAACTGGTGTCCGACAAAACTCTCATTGAATACGATATGGACTTTACGGTGAACCTGCAACGCGATGTATTCGACACATTGTTCGAAGCACAGCAGTTTGAGCATCTGGGATTTACGCTGCCGGCGGTGCTGCGCACAGCCATCATGAAAAAGGATCTGCTCTTCAAGGACTACGAACGGATGAGCGAGGTGATAGACCGTTACAGGGCAATTATTAATAACCTGTCGATGTCCGAAGTGATCTTTCTGCGCGGACACATCTACGACACGGAGCTCTTTATCCAGATGGGCGTGGGTCGGTATACCTGGACGTCGTTTAACATCGGAAAATTCTGCGATCAGATCAACTCCCAGTTGCGGAAACTGACCTCCATCGTTTCGCAGATCAACTTTATTCGCCTCGATCTACGATCGCGCATTGACCAGATCAAGAGCTTCAATCTCTTTAATCTGGACTCCGAGCTGGAGGCCTCACGCGGCTCCCAAGTATTTGACAGACAGTCAGTAGCGGTGGATAAAAAATCCACCGGAGGTCAAAGATTATTTAAATCTTCGACTGGAGAAAATATAACTGTGTTTACAGTGGACAGCGAAGCTCCTGGCCAGCAGAAAAAAGACGAGCTGCAGAGCTGCGGCACTGGAGTCTACCCTTGCCAGGGCTACTTCGAACTTCTAGAGGCGTCGCGGAATCGCAAGACAGCGCAAATGAAGAAGCTGTACGATTCCTTGGGTCCGGTCCTCATCAAACTGGAGAGCTTGGTTTTAGGCACCTTCTCGGGCAGATCAGACCGCATGAAAACCTACTATGAGTTCTGGGAGGAGGAGACCTTCAAATGCATAGTGGAGTATGCAAAAGCCTATATTTTACTGAAAACCATTTCCTAATGCTCCATTTCCTCTTTCTAGGATGACTTACAATAATCTCAAGTGCTACATAAACCGCCTGCTGTCTGGGACTCCCATGTTTGAGGTGAATGCTGCACTCCTCATGTCGGAAATTGTGTTGGAACCGTCAGTACAGGAGTTGCAAAACACAATTGTGACTGCCACCAAGGACTGCATTTCGCGGTGAGTATTCCGCTAGATAAGTATTTCGAAAAACTCAAATGCACATGTCGTTTCAGCTTGCGAATCTTTACGCGATGGATGACTGGCACCTGCCTTTCCTGCCCGCAGGTGGAAATGGGAAAGCAGTTCAAATTTAACTATACCTACTACGAAGACATCATACAGATTAGATCCATAGTGGAATTGGTTATAAATATTCACGACTTGGCACTTAGGATTGCCGGAGAAGCTCGCGCTTTTGTCTCCCAGTAAGTATAAAAAATAAGGTGGAGCTAAAGAAAAGGTGGGTGTTAATGCATTATGCCAAAGATTCCGCAAGTATTTCAATCTGTGGGCGTACGAGAAGAACTTCATCTGCCAGAAGTTCGTTGAGAAGCAGGTGACGCTCGTCGAAATCGATGAGAAATTTACATTTTACTCGTCCATTGTGGAAACGCTGGCCAACATGCGCAAGTACCAGGATATCAAGTGTGTGCGCATAAATTTGCAGCCATTGCTGGATAGCATATCGGTACATGCCAAGGAATGGTGCACCATCCTGGGCGAGGAGCTGTTGCGTCATGTCAACGAAAACATGAGGGCAATGCGTAACGAAATCAAAGTGAGTCCTACTCCTGCCGGATGGAATCCATCCAAACCACACACAACACCACCCACACCTTCTAATCTGTGCAAATCTGCCGCAGACCCTGAGCCTGAATCTTAACAAGACCACACGCGAGCTGGAGGACTTCAAGCTGGTCATGCAAACAATTGCCACAGTGCAGTCGACGACTCTGACCAACGAGCAGAAGATACATGAAATGCAAGAGACCTTCACCATACTCAGCGAACACAAGATTATGGTATGCATATGTAGCTTTAATGAGAATATACACACTTCCCTCTGAGACTAACCATGTAGCTAATTATAATGAATATTTTGCATGCCACAGTAAACACATATCTTAGGGGCAACAACTAACTTTCCATGCCATGTGCTATCGAACTTTATTCAGCGTTTGAATTTATCCAGAATCGTCTAGCTTCATCTAATCCAATCCCTCTAATAGCTACCCATCCCCGCTCAAATGAAAGTTGCTTAAGTTTGCTAACCAGAGCGCTTATTTGTGTATTCAAATGAGCAGTTTTATAAAAATCCCATCGCAATCCCAGCCGTTCTGGCTGGTGACTGTGACTGCTCCTATTTCTGTTTCTGTTTCTGTTTACATATGCATATTTGGCGGTCGGACGGGCAGAACCATTTGGAAATGGCTTTCCGCTTTTTGGCGCATCCCGCACAAACGGTTACGTAAATGCTGCAACAGGACAGCAGGCAGACCAGCGTCCAGATTAGGATCCGGCTTCTCCGGGCCATGCTGCGTATTTGTGTGCTGGCCATTTTGGGATCCATTCGGCTGGCTTCGCTTTTGGTCCATTCATTTATTGATGGCATTTCGTTGCGGCGGCGGCATCGCTTAGCTCTGGCCAGACAAAACGGAATTAACTTGCATTTTATATAAATTAATGAACGAATGAATGCTTATACAGCCAGACACAGGACTATAGAATATAAGTATTCACATATATGTGTATTTGTATATCCAATGGCATTGCGATTGCTGCAAGGGCCAAATGAAAATTTATGCGGTGTCGGCCCTGAAAGCTATGCTATAGTTTTTTTACCATAGCCTTGTGGGTTGCGGATTCGGGGTGGAGGGAGTAGGATGTTTCGCGGCCACGGTTGGCTGGTCGTTAGTGAATTTCGGCACTTTCCATGATTATTATTTGCACTCAGCGATAATTGAAGGACACTGCTTAATTTTTATGTGCGTTTTATTTATTTCGAAACTTTCCACTCACAATTCCCATTCGCATTTTCAGTTCCCCTACGAGGATATGCTGATGGCGCACCACCTGGAGAAGCGCTGGAAGCGACTCTTCCTGTCGGCCTTGTATCGCTCGGAGAAGCTGCAACCAATTAAGCAAAAGTTCGCCGACATGACTTCCGTCGAAATCAATGAATTCTGCGATGACGTAAGTTCTCAGGACACCACAGCGCCGCCTCTGTGAAAAAGGAAGTCCTCGGGGAGAGGCAATGCGATTAGGAAGCGGGCTGCACTGCCGACTTTGCATTTCCGCTATTTTGCGTTCTTTTTTTTGCAGTTCTGTTTTGTTTCCTCCCATTATTATTTCCTTTCAATGGTATTTTAATTGGATTTTTCCGCGCGCTCAACCATTATTGTCAATTGTTGGCGGCGACGACTCTGTCGTCAGCGTAAAATGAATTAACTTGAAGTGTTTATCGTTTGAATTAGAGCGCAAGATGGATGCGGTGGTACAGGGTGGGGCATTTATTTCCTACCCTCTCTGTATCATTGGTATTCTTACAGTGGCCTAAGCCGTCTAATTACTAATTACTAATGAAATTTATGATAGTTTTTATAGTTGAGTTTAATTTTACATTTAATCTCCTTGTTAGTTGGGAGAATTTATCAAGGACTATGACGAAAATGGACCTGGCTCAGTTGGAGCTGAATTAGATCGAGGAGTGCGGCTCATGGATCCTTATGGCCAGAAGATCGCTGAACGCGAAGCTCGACGAGAGGAGCTGGCCAATGCTGAGCGTCTCTTCGACATGCCAATGGTCGACTATCATGAGTTTGCAAGAGTCCAAACCGAGTTTGAAGGTCTGCAGCAGGTAAGGGCTTCTTGAAACCCTATTCACCACCTAGATCTATGCTAACATGATCCCAATTATCCCAACAGCTCTACAAATTATATAAAGCCCAGAAATTCGCTCGCGAGGGCTGGGGCAAAACCTTGTGGGCCGACTTGGATCCCAATGTGCTGACCGAGGGCGTTGAGAGCTATCTGAAGGAGTTCCGGAAATTGACCAAGGCGGTAAGCTTCTTCGAGGCCTCTAGGGCCCGTTCGGTGGGGAAAACTTTGCCAATTAAACAAAGTTTTCGGCCTGCTTGGATTTTCATAAAATTACAGACGCCTTGGAACAACAAAAGCAAAATTCTTTAGAACTGTGAACTCACTGAGAGTCGAGGGGCCCTTCACTAAAGCATTTTGGACCGTTCATCCAAAAAGTAATCAATTGTTAACGAGCATAAAAATAAGGAGTTTCAGATTCTGCAATTTCCATTTCATGCGAATTGAAGTTCGACTTATTTGAAGCAAAAATAATTTCCTTTTAGTTGAAAGTTTCAGGGGTATGCCCAGTTCGTCCACCTTCGCGAACTACCTTGTTTTATGGGGCTTACTCAAGCTTTACTTAAACAAGAAATGTGAATTTTCTGGCCACGCCTTGCAGCGACAAAATTTTGCACCTAAACTGATTATGACAAATTGATTTATTTACTTCACTAACAAGTTTTTGAGGAATTTCGCTGGCCGGGCCAAAAAGTTTGTTGCAGTCAAAACTTTTCGCTTTTTGCCCATACAAATGAAGTGGGCGTAGTCCCAAGGGCCGGGAAGCGGAAACGGAAAAGAGGCGAATAGATGCCGGGCCTGGGAGCTCGAGCTGGGGGAGATTATGTTGGAAAATATTTCAGTGCGCCGCGATTAATATAAATAGCATGGTGGCTGCCAGCAAATTAGAATATAATCATTCGACATGCACATATTTTAATGCAGTTTTATCAGGCATAATGTTGGCCGCAAGGCTCTAAAACAAACTACTGAAAGGCTCTACATAATCAGCGTCCTAAAATGTAAATCAATTTGTTCAATATTGAAAATAATTAAAATGCCAGCAAGCTATCCTTTCTCCCTCTGGCCCCTTTCGTTGCGTTCTTCTCGACTTGTTGACAGTCCTGCGTTGCTATTGCCACTGTTTTTGGCCATTTGTTGTTGTTGCTATTCAATTTATGTCCCTGGATGGTCCAAAGTGCCATGAATTTTGCATGTGCAAACAAACGGACAGCCATGCGAGCAAACAGAATGTGCTTTTCGGCGAACAGCACCGGCAATAGCAGCAGCACAACCGAAACCAAAAGCCACCGACCGCAGGACGCACGTTCGTCATAATTCAATGGTGCGACCACAGGCAGCCACCGCACTATTGTTTCAGCTGATTTGATGCGACTAACTAACCAGCCCCCTTACTGCCACCAACCCATCTTCGATTGCAGGTACGCACCCTGCCCACCGGAGTGCAGCTGGAGATCCACATGAAGCAGTTCAAGGGCACGGTTCCGTTGATGGTCAGCCTCAAGCACGAGGCTTTGAGGGAGCGCCATTGGCTTCAGTTGATGGAGAAAACCGGACAGTACTTCGACATGTCGCCGGCTCGCTTCACGCTGGAGAACATGTTCAACATGCAGCTGCACAAGTATCAGGATATTGCCGAGCAAATCCTTACCAATGCCATCAAGGAATTGCAGATCGAACGCGGTGTCCAGGCTGTGGTCGAAACCTGGGCGTCTATGGCGTTCAAGACCTTCAAACACTTCAAAGGCAGCGAAGATCGCGGCTGGGTTTTGGGACCTGTCGACGAAATCATGCAAATACTCGAGGACAATGCCATGAATCTTCAGTCCATGGGAGCAAGTCAGTAAGTATTTGAAAAATTCATTGTCCTTTAACTCTCGTACTCACCTCAAAATGTATTTGACAGGTTTATTGGTCCGTTCCTGGAGACGGTGAATAGGTGGGAGCGCACCTTGGCCCTCATCTCAGAGATAATCGACGAATGGCTGGTGGTGCAGCGGAAGTGGCTCTACTTGGAGGGTATTTTCATTGGTGGGGACATCCGCACCCAACTGCCGGAGGAGGCGCGCAAATTCGATGACATTGACAAGTCATATCGCAGGGTGAGAAATCAGTAATCCGTTCTGTTTGCTTGGCCTGGTTGTTTGGTTATTTGGTTGTTTGGATATTTGGTTATCCAGTTATTGGGTCTGTTGGCCACCGAAATGGGGCTGGTGAGCTGGTGGGCTGGCGTTGCCTTGGCCAAAACACACACTTAGTATCTGATTCAATTTATTTGAGTTGTTTTAATGTGTGCCGACAATATGGCGACTCTTTACTTAACGGTAAACATAATACGCATGCAAACGACTGCTTCTGTGTATGCGTAATTGTGTTGCCCCACTAGCGCTGGGAGTCCCAGGCAGGAGCCAGCACACGGAGTGAGCCACATTACACATACGCAGCGTAAGCCAATGCTGTGTTTACAAATGCCAAGCACTTTCACCTTCCACTGCCGCCTTCCCATATCCACAGAATCCTTATTGTGTGCTCCTGGGCGGGTGTGTGTGCTGATGCGAGTGTGCGTGTGTGGATAGATTTGTGTTTGTGCTTGGCGCTTAACTTCACTTAACCTTGCCTGCCAGCCACTGGCTTCCTTCGTTTGCTTTACGTTTCATTTGTAACATTTGCCGCCATATTTGATGCCATTTGTGAAATGATTTATTATTTTGATTTGCTCTCGACATTCGTGCTAAGTTCCATACACTTACTGAATGTAGGTCATCTATTCTTTGAGTCTGTTATGCGGAGTGTTATTGAAAAACAAATTTAAACAAGCGCTTAATTCCGCTTCTGTTCACCTTGGAAATACCAATAATAACCAAACATCGACCAATCCAAACACATATTTTAAACAAAATGGCAGAGTATCTGGAATACTTCCTAGATTCAGTTACAACGAACCCATTTTCCTGTAATATGTTTGATTGTATTTGGGGTGGTCGTTGCGCTCATTGCTTTTCATAATAATTTACTGCCTTGACTGGCGTTGCCGCTTCCTACTTCATCTTGTTATAACCACTATATTCCTCTCCTCATTGCAGATCATGGTCGATTGTGCCAAAAATCCGTTAGTGGTGCCATTCTGTACAGTGCCCGGACGCTTAGTGGAAATACAAGGTTTGGGCATTGGCTTGGAAAATTGTCAGAAGTCGTTAAACGAATATTTGGACTCGAAGCGTCGCATTTTTCCGCGCTTCTATTTCATATCCACCGATGAGCTGCTCTCCATTTTGGGCAGCAGCGAGCCATCTGCAGTGCAGAACCACATCATTAAGGTGGGTCCAGAGGGTACAACTTCAAGTTCTGTGGGCGTTTCGGTTTTCGGTATTCGGTTTGGATTTCGGTTCGGTTTTTGGGTTAGGGCTTGGGCTTGGGCTAGGGCCTGGGCCTGAGCCTCAGCTCTCAACGGTGGTGGTGACAACAACAGATTTGCCAAACTGCCAGCGACATTATTTTTATGTACGACGGGGCGTGTGTGTGTGGATAGAGTCTTGCCATAAAAGTTAATGTCACTGTTTATTCGTTCTGGCCAATGTCCATGGCGGAAATTACGCCAATTTCTGCAACACATGCACGGCTACAGCCCCCAGATTCGCAGACAGCCAAGTGCTGGGGGTGGGCGTATCCTGCATCCCTCCTCTTGAGCCGCGGTAAATTTTTATGCATTTATTCAGCTTATAAATAATATTTTTTTCCTCCGCATTGATTTTACAATTTTCATTTCGCCCTCTGCCCCTGCTCACCCCACAGATGTACGACAATATCAAGTCACTGCGCTTGGTCAAGGAGGGAAGCCAGACCCTTGTTACCGCCATGATTTCCAGCGAGGGCGAGGTCATGGAGTTCCGGCGCTCTGGTAGGTACAACAGCTCCCCTGGATACCCGGCGCCCGATGCCTCCTTTGGATGGGCATCCTGGGCATCATCCGATCCGCTAGGCGGCTCGACTTCGTTCTGGACAATCCAGCATTCAGCTCCACGCACTGATTGCCAATTTTAAAATTGAACTTTTTTATGGCATTATTGTCTGCTGGCTGGCACTGGCTGGCCAATTTCTTTTAATTAATTTGAAGCCATCGGCCTGGGCATGAGCACCAGCACCAGAATTGGCATCAGTACCGAGGAGTGGAGCTGATTGCTTCTTCTGTTCTTATTGCCGCTGTTGTTGTGGCTGTGTACAGCATTTTATTGTTGTTGTATACACTTATTGATATTGGCAACTGGGGTTTATTTATGCGGTTATTGTATTTCCGTCCCTTCGTTTATTTTCCGGCGGAGCGCAGCACGGGCAGCGGGTCGAGTGGAATACTGGATGAACGATGTGCTGGATGAAATGCGTCGCTCCAACCGATTCATAAACAAGACGTCCATCTTCGACTTTGGCACAGATCTGCAAATTGCAAGGTAAGTGCCACCGTCAGCTGGGCATAAAACATATTTTATGCCTTCCGCCCCACGGTTCCTTCTCCGTCTCCAAAAAGTAAGACAGTCCGGGTGGAGTGACACTTCGGCAGCCAATTCCTTTTATGGCCAGCGATTTACATTGTGGCTCCGGCTCAGGGTCCGACTCTGGCACAAGCAATGGGTCCAACTCAGTGTTCTCTTCTCCCACTCCGCACTCGGACTGTATAATTTTGTCATTTCGCGCGATTTATTATTTTGTTTAAGCCGTGGGGCGCATGGCCTGGCATATTTATGGCCAATTGTATTAAATTGACAGTCATTGGGCACTTTCGATTTCGACTTCCACTTCGATGTGGTTATTTTCAGACCGGACTGGCTAATGAACTACCAGGGCATGGTGGGCCTGGCCGCCAGTCAAGTGTGGTGGACCGCCGAGGTGGAGGAGGCCTTCGACCAGGCCCAGAACCACGGAAACATGCGTGCCATGAAAGACTTTCTCAACAAGAACAACTACCAGATCGAGGAGCTGGTCCTGAAGGTGCGCTCCAATCTCTCGCGCAACGATCGCCTCAAGTTCAAGGCCCAGTGTACGGTGGATGTACATGCCAGGGATATCATCGACAATTTCGTGCGCGACAATGTCCTAGACGCCACCGAGTTCAGTTGGGAGAGTCAGTTGCGCTTCTACTGGGTGAAGTTTTATGATAACCTACACGTGCTCCAGTGCTCCGGCAGTTTCGACTTTGGCTACGAGTACATGGGTCTTAATGGCCGCCTGGTGATCACCCCGCTGACCGACCGAATCTACTTGACAATCACTCAGGCGCTGCTGATGAATCTGGGCGGAGCACCGGCTGGACCTGCCGGCACGGGCAAAACAGAGACCGTCAAAGATCTGGCCAAGGCCATGGGACTCCTCTGCGTGGTCACCAACTGCGGGGAGGGCATGGACTACCGGGCTGTGGGCACGATTCTGTCTGGCTTGGTCCAATGCGGTGCCTGGGGATGCTTCGACGAGTTCAACCGCATTGATATCTCCGTGCTCAGTGTGATATCCACCCAATTGCAGACCATCAGGAACGGTTTAATTCGAAAGTTGGAACGGTTCGTGGTATGTATACAGTTCTACTTAAATATTTAATGTACGTCTCTATGATATGTTCTCCATGAAATCTAGTTTGAAGGCGTCGAAATCAAACTGGACCCGAAGTGCGGTGTGTTTGTGACCATGAATCCAGGATACGCCGGACGTACGGAATTACCCGAGTCGGTGAAAGCCCTCTTCCGGCCAGTGACATGCATCAAGCCAGATCTCGAGCTGATCTGCCTGATCTCACTATTCTCCGACGGATTCCTAACCGCCAAAGTTTTGGCCAAGAAAATGACAGTGCTCTACTCTTTGGCCCAGGCACAATTGTCAAAGCAGTGCCATTATGACTGGGGGCTGCGATCCCTAAACTCCGTGCTTAGGATGGCGGGTGTTATGAAGCGTCAATCGGAGGATCTTCCCGAGGCTGTGGTGCTGATGCGTGTGCTGCGCGATATGAACTTCCCCAAGTTCATCTTCGAAGATGTGCCGCTGTTCTTGGGATTAATTAAGGACTTGTTCCCGGGCATAGACTGCCCACGCATTGGCTATCCGGACTTCAATGCTGCTACGAGGCATGTGCTGGTCAACGATGGATACATTCTGCTGCCCGATCAGGTGCGAGTTCGTCCACAGGCCAGATTGTGCCCTGTCATTACCGTGTTGACAGTGGCAACACTCCCTAGTCCTAGCGATGGTGCAGGTCCTGGTCCCTGACCGGCACTTTGACACTTTGTAAATTGCGCCGTGTCGCATAATCGCAAATGAAGGAAATGTTACAAAGCACTTTGCCCAGCCCCAGACCCACCTCCTCACATCCAATTTCAACTTTGCCCTCGGTCACACAAACGCACACTATTTCAGCAACTACTCCAGCAATTTCCACTAATACAATTTTCCATTTCTTTTGCTCTCCTCCATCCATGCTGTTCACCTGAACTACTGAACTCCTGGTCAAATCCTTGCCACTTTCATCAAACAAAATGTTGCGCAAATGTCGGGTCCCCAACTCCTTTCGCCCCGTCCGGCCGGAAATGGACCACTGCTGGACATGCGATGTCACCATGCAACATCATTTATGACAACTAAATCCCCTCAACGGCAACGGCAACGGTAACGCCTTCGTTCACCGTTCTTCGCTCCTCGTTCTCAATCCACCTGCAGGAGGACAAAGTGGTGCAAATGTACGAGACCATGATGACCCGGCACTCGACCATGTTGGTGGGCCCAACAGGTGGTGGCAAAACTGTTGTCATAAATGCCCTGGTTAAGGCGCAGACCCACATGGGCCTGCCCACCAAGTGCCTTGTGCTTAACCCCAAGGTAAGTGTCCCCCAGTTACTCCTTACCCTCCATGCACACAGACTCTCTGGCACACAAATTGCGGGAGCGAACGCTTTTAGTTTCCTTCATTTTCCCATCCGGCTAGTCCTTTTGTGAGCTCTGTGTCGGTTCTTTGGGAGTGTCCTTTCCTGTCCTGTCTTCGGTAGGTCCTCAAATTGCAGTTTTCTCTACTTTCGCATTTTGCTTTGGCAAAGCCGATATGCTAAGTGCTTGTGAAATTGTGCAATTGAACGTAATTAGTTGCCATGCAATATTCCAAAGTAAATGATATTCCTAATTAGGCAACAATGAAATTCCACTAAAAAGGGATAAATATTTGTCCTTCGTTTTTTCTTGTTTATTTATCCTGCACATTTATTTATCGCTGACCAAGTGTTCCCAAACCATATGCTAACATCTTATTCTCTTCATTTTTCAATATTATTTTTCGGTGCAGGCCTGTTCTGTTGTTGAGTTATACGGCTATTTGGATATGGAAACGAGAGATTGGATTGATGGATTGTTTTCGAATATATTCCGTGAAATGAATAAGCCCATTGAGCGTGAGGTAAGTGAAGGGAATAGCTAATATACCAACCCAATGCCCTAATGCAACCCACTTAAAAATACTTCTACCCAACAGGAGCGCCGATATGCCTGTTTCGACGGAGACGTAGATGCCCTTTGGATCGAGAACATGAACTCTGTGATGGACGACAACAAGCTACTGACCCTGGCGAACGGCGAACGAATCCGGTTGGAAAACTACTGCGCCCTTCTCTTTGAAGTGGGCAACTTGAACTACGCCTCTCCGGCCACGGTTTCTCGGGCCGGAATGGTGTACGTGGATCCGAAGAACCTGCGCTTCAGCCCCTACTGGCAGAGATGGGTCCTCACTCGGCCAGAAGTACAGAGGGAACTTCTCGACGAAATGTTTGAGAAGATCATCACGCAGGCCATTGCCTTTATTTTGGAGGGGCTCGATGGCACCACGCAGGGCAATCCCCTCAAGTTGGTTATTATGCAAACGGACCTCAACATGGTGACCCAGTTCTGTAACTTCTACGATGCACTGCTTCCCAATTATGGACCCGGGGAGGGCAAGAACTACGACGAGCCGGTGCTACAGGTTTACAATACGGACACCTTGGAGTGTTGTTTCCTGCAAGCTGTCTACGGCTCTCTGGGCGCCTGCTTGCTGGAGAAACACCAGATCATTTTTGACGAGTACATGAAGCGGATTTCCGGCTTTCCGCTGGTAAGCGACACTATAGACTCCCCCGCATCGGGAGGACAATTCCCGCAGGGCAGGCCAACACTCTACGACTACTTCTGGGACGTCAAGGAGAACGTGTGGAAGGCCTGGGAGTGGGTGGTCCAGCCATACAGCCACGACCCCCTGGTAAAGTTCAGCGAGATCCTGGTGCCCACCGTGGACAACACGCGCACCAACCGCGTCCTGGCCCTGATGAGCGAGGTAAGGGTGCATGTGTGAAAAACTCATTACTGCGGCTTTGTCGGCGGATTCCCGATTCCTTATTAATGTTTGTCCCTATTTTCGGTATTCTCCCAGATCAAACGACCCGTGCTGCTTGTCGGCGAGGCTGGAACATCAAAGACGGCCACCATCATGCAGTATTTGCGCAATCTGAATCCGAATGTCAACGTAATTGAAAAATCTCTCGCACAACCGTCGTGTTCCCGACTAACATGGCCCTCCGCCTTCCTTTCCGCATCCCTTTCAGGTCATACTCAATATTAATTTTTCATCGAGAACGTCGTCCCTGGATGTGCAGCGCACCCTGGAAGCCGCCGTAGAGAAACGCACTAAGGATACGTATGGCCCACCGATGGGCAAGAGGATTGCTTGCTTTATTGATGACATGAACATGCCGCAGGTGGATGAGTGAGTACTGCACCTTCTAATTGCACCAAGCTAGAATGACAAAACTCTTTCGTTTCCATTAATATTTGTGATGCTCCACAGTTACGGCACCCAGCAGCCAATCGCCCTGCTAAAGCTTTTCTTCGAACGCGGCGGAATGTACGACCGCGACAAGGATCTTAACTGGAAGAGGTTCAAGGACCTAACCTTCTACGCAGCCATGGGCACGGCGGGTGGCGGCCGAAACGAGGTGGATCCCCGCTTCATCAGCATGTTCTCCACCTACAACATCGTTTTCCCCAACGACGAATCCCTCATCCAGATCTACTCTTCCATTTTTAAAGGACACATGCAATTCGTAAAGTTTGACGTCAAGTATATGATGATTGCTGATATGATTGTTGTTATGACACTCAAGTTATTCAAGGTATGTGAAAGGTGTATTAACAATGGGACTTTTCTTAAAAACAGTATTCCAAAGTATCTTATCCCTGGTGTAGGTACTCATAGTTATGTACCCATAGGGTTTCTCAATTCTAAGCAAGTTTAAGTTTAAGTTGAACAAAGTCATAATGGGATCCCTCCATAATGGGGTTTTCGCCTAAAGGGTCCACAGAATTGGCAATATCTTCCACAATTCTCATCCGATTCTCAAAAGGAGTACCTTAAACGATTTCTAGATGGATTTGCCACCATTCAGCATCAAAATCATGAGACGAAATATTTTTTCGATTTTTTGTCCATTTTTCGCGATGGGATCCCTTAAAAATGGGGTTTCCCCTATAGATCCACCGCAATGACTATATCTTCGCCAATTCTCATCCGATTCCCAAGCGGAGTACCTTAAACGATTTCTAGATGGATTTGCCACCATTCTGCATCAAAATCCTGAGACGAAATATTTTTTCGATTTTTTGTCCATTTTTCGTGATGGGATCCCTTGAAAATGGGGTTTTCCCCTATAGGGTCCACCGCGATGACTATATCTTCGCCAATTCTCATCCGATTCCCAAGCGGAGTACCTTAAACGATTTCTAGATGGATTTGCCACCATTCTGCATCAAAATCCTGAGACGAAATATTTTTTCGATTTTTTGTCCATTTTTCGCGATGGGATCCCTTGAAAATGGGGTTTTCCCCTATAGGGTCCACCGCGATGACTATATCTTCGCCAATTCTCATCCGATTCCCAAGCGGAGTACCTTAAACGATTTCTAGATGGATTTGCCACCATTCTGCATCAAAATCCTGAGACGAAATATTTTTTCGATTTTTTGTCCATTTTTCGTGATGGGATCCCTTGAAAATGGGGTTTTCCCCTATAGGGTCCACCGCGATGACTATATCTTCGCTAATTCTCATCCGATTCCCAAGCGGAGTACCTTAAACGATTTCTAGATGGATTTTCCACCATTCTGCATCAAAATCCTGAGAAGAAATATTTTGTAGATTTTTTGTCCATTTTTCGTGATGGGATGAAAATGGTGTTTTCCCCTATAGGGTCCACCGCGATGACTATATCTTCGCCAATTCTCATCCGATTCCCAAGCGGAGTACCTTAAACGATTTCTAGATGGATTTGCCACCATTCTGCATCAAAATCCTGAGACGAAATATTTTTTTCGATTTTTTGTCCATTTTTCGCGATGGGATCCCTTGAAAATGGGGTTTTCCCCTATAGGGTCCACCGCGATGACTATATCTTCGCCAATTCTCATCCGATTCCCAAGCGGAGTACCTTAAACGATTTCTAGATGGATTTGCCACCATTCTGCATCAAAATCCTGAGACGAAATATTTTTTCGATTTTTTGTCCATTTTTCGTGATGGGATCCCTTGAAAATGGGGTTTTCCCCTATAGGGTCCACCGCGATGACTATATCTTCGCCAATTCTCATCCGATTCCCAAGCGGAGTACCTTAAACGATTTCTAGATGGATTTGCCACCATTCTGCATCAAAATCCTGAGACGAAAAATTTTTTCGATTTTTTGTCCATTTTTCGCGATGGGATCCCTTGAAAATGGGGTTTTCCCCTATAGGGTCCACCGCGATGACTATATCTTCGCCAATTCTCATCCGATTCCCAAGCGGAGTACCTTAAACGATTTCTAGATGGATTTGCCACCATTCTGCATCAAAATCCTGAGACGAAATATTTTTTCGATTTTTTGTCCATTTTTCGCGATGGGATCCCTTGAAAATGGGGTTTTCCCCTATAGGGTCCACCGCGATGACTATATCTTCGCCAATTCTCATCCGATTCCCAAGCGGAGTACCTTAAACGATTTCTAGATGGATTTGCCACCATTCTGCATCAAAATCCTGAGACGAAATATTTTTTCGATTTTTTGTCCATTTTTCGCGATGGGATCCCTTGAAAATGGGGTTTTCCCCTATAGGGTCCACCGCGATGACTATATCTTCGCTAATTCTCATCCGATTCCCAAGCGGAGTACCTTAAACGATTTCTAGATGGATTTTCCACCATTCTGCATCAAAATCCTGAGAAGAAATATTTTGTAGATTTTTTGTCCATTTTTCGTGATGGGATGAAAATGGTGTTTTCCCCTATAGGGTCCACCGCGATGACTATATCTTCGCCAATTCTCATCCGATTCCCAAGCGGAGTACCTTAAACGATTTCTAGATGGATTTGCCACCATTCTGCATCAAAATCCTGAGACGAAATATTTTTTCGATTTTTTGTCCATTTTTCGCGATGGGATCCCTTGAAAATGGGGTTTTCCCCTATAGGGTCCACCGCGATGACTATATCTTCGCCAATTCTCATCCGATTCCCAAGCGGAGTACCTTAAACGATTTCTAGATGGATTTGCCACCATTCTGCATCAAAATCCTGAGACGAAATATTTTTTTCGATTTTTGTCCATTTTTCGTGATGGGATCCCTTGAAAATGGGGTTTTCCCCTATAGGGTCCACCGCGATGACTATATCTTCGCCAATTATCATCCGATTCCCAAGCGGAGTACCTTAAACGATTTCTAGATGGATTTTCCACCATTCTGCATCAAAATCCTGAGACGAAATATTTTTTCGATTTTTTGTCCATTTTTCGCGATGGGATCCCTTGAAAATGGGGTTTTCCCCTATAGGGTCCACCGCGATGACTATATCTTCGCCAATTCTCATCCGATTCCCAAGCGGAGTACCTTAAACGATTTCTAGATGGATTTGCCACCATTCTGCATCAAAATCCTGAGACGAAATATTTTTTCGATTTTTGTCCATTTTTCGCGATGGGATCCCTTGAAAATGGGGTTTTCCCCTATAGGGTCCACCGCGATGACTATATCTTCGCCAATTCTCATCCGATTCCCAAGCGGAGTACCTTAAACGATTTCTAGATGGATTTGCCACCATTCTGCATCAAAATCCTGAGACGAAATATTTTTTCGATTTTTGTCCATTTTTCGCGATGGGATCCCTTGAAAATGGGGTTTTCCCCTATAGGGTCCACCGCGATGACTATATCTTCGCCAATTCTCATCCGATTCCCAAGCGGAGTACCTTAAACGATTTCTAGATGGATTTGCCACCATTCTGCATCAAAATCCTGATACGAAATATTTTTTCGATTTTTTGTCCATTTTTCGCGATGGGATCCCTTGAAAATGGGGTTTTCCCCTATAGGGTCCACCGCGATGACTATATCTTCGCCAATTCTCATCCGATTCCCAAGCGGAGTACCTTAAACGATTTCTAGATGGATTTGCCACCATTCTGCATCAAAATCCTGAGACGAAATATTTTTTCGATTTTTGTCCATTTTTCGCGATGGGATCCCTTGAAAATGGTGTTTTCCCCTATAGGGTCCACCGCGATGACTATATCTTCGCCAATTCTCATCCGATTCCCAAGCGGAGTACCTTAAACGATTTCTAGATGGATTTGCCACCATTCTGCATCAAAATCCTGAGACGAAATATTTTTTCGATTTTTTGTCCATTTTTCGTGATGGGATCCCTTGAAAATGGGGTTTTCCCCTATAGGGTCCACCGCGATGACTATATCTTCGCTAATTCTCATCCGATTCCCAAGCGGAGTACCTTAAACGATTTCTAGATGGATTTTCCACCATTCTGCATCAAAATCCTGAGACGAAATATTTTTTCGATTTTTTGTCCATTTTTCGTGATGGGATCCCTTGAAAATGGGGTTTTCCCCTATAGGGTCCACCGCGATGACTATATCTTCGCTAATTCTCATCCGATTCCCAAGCGGAGTACCTTAAACGATTTCTAGATGGATTTTCCACCATTCTGCATCAAAATCCTGAGAAGAAATATTTTGTAGATTTTTTGTCCATTTTTCGTGATGGGATGAAAATGGTGTTTTCCCCTATAGGGTCCACCGCGATGACTATATCTTCGCCAATTCTCATCCGATTCCCAAGCGGAGTACCTTAAACGATTTGTGGATCGATTCTCCACCATTCTGCATCCCAATTTTGAGACAAAATAATTATAATTTAATATTTTAATAATTATAAAATTAAAGAGATCTCTGAGATCAAAAAGAAATCCTTATTTCATCCCATTTCTTAGTATTTCTACAAGTCTCCTTAATATGAAAATTTTACTGAATACATTTGCCTCCCTTCGGTTGAGTCTATATCAGTATAAAAGGAGGAACACCTTCTTGACTGCATTCAGGGCAAATTCAGTAAAAGAAATCAATTCTGTGCTGAATAATGCTTTAAGGCCTCTCACAAATTTTATGAAATTCGATTTACATATGCAAATAACGACAATTTTTCATAATCTGCTTTGCTGTGACCCCCGCTTTCGAGCGGCACCGAAGCCCACCCCTGTGGCCCCACAATGGAAATGGAAATTATTCAATGGTCTGTAATGCACTACGACGTCGAGTCCTTCGTCCTCTTCATCGTCCTTGTTCTGAATCTCGTAGCTGCTCCATTGGTTTTTCGAGTGCAACTCAGTGCCATAGTCGCAGCAAAGCCGTAATCGTGGTGGCCATACTTGCCCCCTTCTTGCAACACTCCCCTCTCCCCCCCTGCACTTCCAGTATTCGGGCCGGTACTCCACACTTCAGTGCTTGCTCTCACAATGGTCACCCGCCTCGACGGCTGCCTAGTTGACTGTATCTGTATCTGGGCCTGCTCCGGTGCCGGTATCTGTATCTGCGTTTGGCTGCTTGGATGGCTGGATGGCAGGATGGCTGGCTATGTGTTCGTTGCCTATCTACGCCGGAATATCTTGGCCGGAGCGAAATTTGATTATGCTCAAGTATTGAACCGTAGATGGCTCTTTTCTCGGCATTGGGCGTGGCTGGCTGGCTGGCTGGCTGAGTTGGGCAAGGGCATTAGTTTATGGTACTTTTAACAATTGTTGACACTAAAATATTATCGCATTTCATTGCGTACAGATAAAAATGCATTTGTCGCCGCAATTGCCACAAGCAGCCTCCTCCTGCTTCAGCTCCCAAAATGCTGCAAAAAATGATTTACTCACACCTGCAGTCCTTGCAGACCCCTCGACCTTGCTTCTTCCGAGTCGTAGCTCTTGGTTCCTAGTTCGTATGTCTTCTTTACACACTCAGTAGCAAGGATATTAATGCGCCACGAAATGGACTGAAATGAATTATTTGAATAGAATTGCCGTTACTCAGACGCGCTGCTGGAGCGGCGGCTGCAACTCGATAATGGCTGTAAATTCAGCAACTTGGCAACGTCCCGAGGGCGTGTAGGATGTCCTCCTCCCTTGCGAACGCATATTGCTAGTCTAGATAAAATTGATTTGTGTGGCGTGGTCCCGCCTCGGGGCCCGTTTATGGGGCGATGGGGAGGGGAGTGATGGGAGGGCCCATATCTGCCTTGCCTCTGCTAATTGCTTCCTGACCCGCAGATGGTAATTGTGGATTTGCCGCCGACGCCGTCCAAGTTCCACTACATATTCAATCTAAAGGATTTATCACGCATTTTCGCCGGCCTGCTGCTCATCGAACCCACTTGCTTCAAAAACCTAAGAGATCTCATTCGTGTGTGGCGCAACGAATTCACCAGGATCATCTGCGATCGCCTAATATCTGATCAGGTTAATCGAATGCTTATGTTATTTAAATCTTTAATATACTGATTATTTTTGCCAGGACATCAATGGCGTTCGACGCAATCTCGCTGCCGAAGTATCGGATCGTTTCCCACCTACCTTTGAGGAGGAAAACGGATTCATTGATGCGGCAGCCGCCGAGGCAGAGGCTCAGGCTCGACTTCTGTACGAACCTGATCCCAAAGCGGTTACCAACGACTTCGATATGAGTATGGGTGAAGAGGAGGGCGAAGAGGAGGAAGAGGGTGAGGATGCTCCTCAGGTGATACTTTCCCTAAAGGACTATGTCCTCCGCGATCCCATGCTGTTCGGCGACTTCCGAAACTTTACCAACGAGTCGGAGGCTCGCTTGTACGAAGACCTGCTGGACTACAACTCTGTATACCATCTCTTCACTGAGATTCTAGACGAGTATTGTGAGCGGAAACAGAAGATGACCCTCGTCCTGTTCGAGGACTGTCTGGAACACTTGACCCGTGTGCACCGTACCCTTCGTATGAACCGTGGCCATGTCCTGCTCATCGGCGTTGGTGGCAGTGGAAAAAAGTGCATCACCCGCCTGGCCTCGTTCGCTGCCGAGTGCGAAGTCTTCGAGATCACTATTTCCCGGGGCTACAATGAAGCAGCATTCCGCGAGGACCTCAAAGTCCTGTATGGCATTGCGGGCGTAAAGCGAAAGAAGGTGGTGTTCCTCTTCACGGCTGCTCAGGTGAGTTATTAGGTCTGGAGACTGGAAATGTTTTTAATATATAAGTTGATCCCCTTTTAGGTAGCCGAGGAGGGATTCCTGGAGTTGATCAATAACATTCTTACGGTGGGTCAAGTTCCAGCCCTGTTTGCCGACGAAGATAAGGATGGCATTGTCAATCAAGTTCGTAAATTTGCCGAAGAAGAAGGCTATTCTGCTTCCAAGTAAGTAACCATTCATCTCTATTACTAAACGACTCTAAAAGTATCACCTATCTTAAAACGCAGAGACTCTGTTTGGTCTTATTTCCTACGCACTTGTGCTGAAAACTTGCACGTGGTTCTGTGCATGTCTCCGGCTGGTGACGCCTTGCGAAATCGTTGCAGGAATTTCCCTGGTCTCATTGGCAGCACATACATAGATTGGGTCTTCCCATGGCCCAGACAGGCACTGTATGCCGTGGCCAAGCTTTTCCTCACAGAGCACCCCCTGATTCCGGCAGCTCATCGCGATGCCATTGTGGAGCATGTGGTGCATGTGCACACCACCATACAGCAGTACTCTAAGGACTATCTGGCCAAGCTGAGGCGTAATAATTTTGTGACTCCGAAACACTACCTAGATTATATCAATACCTATAGGGGATTATTGGGTGAGATATAATCTTTAAATCCTGTAACTCCCCTTCTATTTCTTGTATTTCTAAACAGAGGAGAAGGCGAAGTTCATCACCCAACAACGTTCTCGACTCGGGGAGGGTATCAAGAAAATCGAAGAGGCTTCGGTGCAAATCGACGAACTGCGTATCATTGTCACGGAGCAGAAGAAGAATGTGGCTGTGGCTTCGGAGGAGTGCGAGGCCATGTTGGTCACCATTGAGGCTTCAACACAAAAGGCAAACACAAAGAAAGCAGAGGCCTCCGAAAAGTCCGTAGAAGTGGAGATCAAGGGCAAGCAGATTGCCGTTGAAAAAGACGAGGCTGAGGTGATCTTGGCCGATGCTATGCCGGCCCTGGAAGAGGCGAGAAGGGCTTTGTCCGAGCTGGAGAAGGCACAGATCACTGAAATCCGATCCTTCGCCACTCCGCCGGCTGCCGTGCAGGTGGTCTGCGAGTGTGTGGCCATTTTGAAGGGAATCAAGGAAATCAGTTGGAAATCGGCCAAGGGAATGATGAGCGATGTTAACTTCTTGAAGAGCTTGATGGAGATGGACTGCGAAGCACTGACCCAGAAACAGATCACCTCCTGCCGGCAGCACATGAAAACCCAAAACCTGGACGACATGGGGAAGATCTCTATTGCCGGTGCGGGTCTGTTGAAATTCGTAAAAGCCGTGTGTGGCTTCTTCGACGTTTACAAAGAAGTGAAGCCCAAGAAGGAGCGGTTAGAGTTCCTCGTGGAGGAACAGGATGTGCAGATCAAGCTTCTCAGTCACCTTAACTCTGAAATTCAGAAGCTGGAGGATAAGTTGGCAGAGTTGAATGAGAACTTTGCCGTCTCCATGAAGCAAATGAAAGCCCTGACGGAAATGATGCAGCAGGCTGAGAGGCGTTTGATCGCCTCCGACAAGCTGATCAGCGGTCTCACTTCCGAGTTGATCCGCTGGAGCAAGGAGATGGCCAGTCTGGGCCAGCAACTGATCGACAGCGTCGGCGTTTGCCTTATAAGCGCCTCGTTCCTGGCCTACACAGGCGCCTTCACTTGGGAGTTCCGTAAAACCATGGTTTTTGATGATTGGCTGGAGGATATTATCTCTTTAGGTATTCCCATGAAGCTCCCCTTTAAGATAGACGGGTACCTCACCACCGACGTGGAAATTTCGCAGTGGAGTAACGAGGGCCTTCCGCCTGATGAGCTCTCCATCCAGAACGGCATCCTAACTATGCGGGCTTCCCGATTCCCCCTCTGTATTGATCCCCAGCTGCAGGCCCTGCAATGGATCCGCAAGAAGGAGATGCGCAACAACCTCAAGGTGCTCTCCTTCAGTGACGCCGACTTCCTCAAACAACTGGAGATGGCCATCATGTACGGAACTCCCGTACTGTTCGAGGACGTCGACGACTACATTGACCCGGTAATCGACGACATCCTTCAGAAAAACATTCGGCTTCAGGGTGGTCGCAAGTTTGTCATGCTGGGAGACAAGGAGGTAGACTGGGACCCGGGCTTCCGTGTATACCTCACCACAAAGTTCTCCAATCCAAAGTTCGATCCTGCTGTATATGCCAAAGCCCTGGTCATCAACTACACAGTGACCCAGACCGGTCTAGAGGATCAGCTCCTTAGTGTAGTCGTGGGCACAGAGCGGCCGGACTTGGAGGCTCAGCGTGAGTCCCTCATTGCCCAGACCAGCGAGAACAAGCAGTTGCTGCAACAGCTTGAGGATTCCCTGCTCCGTGAGTTGGCCACTTCAACGGGCAACATGTTGGACAACGTGGAGCTGATAGAGACGCTGGAGAACACCAAAACCAAGGCTGGCGTAGTGATGGAACAACTTAAACTGGCTGCCGATACGGCGGCGGATATTGAGATTTTGCGAAACGGTTACCTTCCAGCCGCCAAGAGGGGAGCCGTGCTTTTCTTCGCACTGGCGGACATGGCCACCGTGAACAGCATGTACCAGTACGCACTGGCAGCCTATCTGGATGTCTTCGTCTACTCCCTGCGAAAAGCTGTGCCCGATGCCAGTCTCCACAAGCGGCTAAATAACATCATCAAGACACTAACCGAAAACGTGTATTGCTACGGATGCACTGGCATCTTCGAGCGGCACAAGTTGCTCTTCTCCTTCCAGATAGCCACCAAACTCGCCCAGCGGGATGGCATTCTTCTGCAGTCCGAGCTGGACTTTTTCATTAAAGGCAGCATTGCGCTGACCAAGAGCGAGCGTTCGAATCCCTGCAAATGGTTACCCGAGAAGAGCTGGGAGGATCTGCTCAAACTGGCCTTTGATTTTCCCGAGGCTTTTGGAACTCTGCCGGATCACTTTGGACGTTTTCTAGACGAATGGAGGGCGGTAAGTGAAGTCATCACATTTTGTTGTGAAAACCTTAGTTCTGGGTGTCCTTTGCATTCACTCCTTTAAAATGTCTAAGAGAACCACTGAAAGAGCATAAAAATATACAAAATGCCTCTTGAGTCTTTATGGTAATAGTACAATCTCCACAAAGATTTAAGTTTGTGCCATTAAAGGCCAAAAAAAGCACCAACCACTGAACCCTGAGGAGAAGATTCTCAACCCTAGACTGTTAAATGTTCATGTTTTTCTTATGTATATATATTTTTTTTATATTTATTTCCGATTTTCCCGCTGCTCGCTTGGGTGCATCATCTTCAACGTCAACGTCAACTGTGATGCCGTTATCAAATTGCTGTTACTGGACTGGTCGTGCCACTGCTTTTGGTCCTGTTCCTGTTCCTCCTGCTCGTCGTTGTTGTTGGTGTCCGCTTACCCCATGCCCGGCTTGTGGACGATGCTATAAAATGCACAAAAACAACAAATAAACAACGCAACAACAACTTGGACTCGGATGGTCGATGGGTCCTGGGCACCGAAACTGCTCCTGATTCTGATTCTGACTGGCATGTGGCATTCACTGACTTCCGTTCCGTTGCCGACGCTCATTTCGCCTGCACTTATCGCCATCGCCATCGCCATCGTCATCCGCATCCGCATCCCCATCCTCATCCGTATTGCCAACGCCAACGCCATCGCCGAATGCCCATGAACCGATGTCGTCGTCACCATCGTTCAGTGGTACGACTTGGAGAATCCCGAGGAGATGCCATGTCCGGGAGACTACAACATCAAATGCAATGCATTCCAGGCAAGTGCCGGCCCTGCTGTTCTGTGTATTCACCCACTCGTTTTGCATGCTTTCAGCTTTGAGTGGCCCTGGCCAGGAGCCCAAGCCTCCCGCTCCTTTAGAGCCCACAGTTCTCTCCTGCTCCTCCAGTTCAGGCTCTTCAGCTCCTGAATTTGTTGCTGCTGTTGCTGTTGTCGTTGCCATTGAGCGTTATTGGATTTCGTACTTTATGCCCGCTTCTAGTGGATTATTATGTACAAGCCAGGCTCGCACACACACACACACTAACGCACACTTATGCCAGCCCGCGCTTACAAAGGACACCACTTTGGGTCTGGGCGTTTAGTTTTACCCGACTTTTGCTACGTCCTGCAACTTTGGCGCACATTTTCTTCTCAAGTTATTAGCCGCCTGTTTTTGTCAGCCAGCATGCTGGCACAGTATCTAACAGTCTGGGTGTGTGTATCTATGTGGGAATGTGTTTGTGTGCATTACCATATTTTATCAATTTTCCAAACCATTAGATGAACGGCAATTTGCGCTCGCAGTCGCACTTGAAACCAGCGCCAAGCCAAGGCAAGGCAAGCCAAGCGAGCCCAATTTGCACTTGAGTTTTGCTAGAAAACCGCAGCTACGATGGCAACACAAAATGGCCAAGGCAATAGCAATAGCAACAGCAAGAGCAGCATTGAAGCACCAAAATGGCCAACTATGAAGGAGTGATGAACTTCCTGTCGACGTCTCATTGTCATTGAGGTTATTAAAATGTCTCAAATCCCTCCATTTCACCCACAGAAATTAATGTTCCTGCGGTGCTTCCGGGTGGATCGAATCTTCCGAAGCATAAATCAATACATAGTAGACACCATGGATGAGTTCTATATTATGCCACCGGTGGTGAGCTTTATGGCCATTTACGAGCAGACCACTTGCAATATCCCGGTCTGCTTTGTGCTCAGCGCTGGCTCGGATCCCACCAACGATCTCATCAAACTGGCTGACACTATCGTTGGCATGTCCAACTTTTCGCACATCTCCCTGGGACAGGGCCAGGAGAAAGCTGCCATGCGGCTAATGGACACGGCCATCAAGCAGGGTATGTGGCTTATGCTTCAGAACGGGCACCTGCTGATTAAGTTCGTTCGCGAGCTGGAGAAACATCTGGACCGCATCGAGAATCCGCATCCAGACTTCAGGTTGTGGATTACCACAGATCCCACTCCTAGCTTCCCGATTGGTATTTTGCAAAAGTCCTTGAAGGGTGAGTTCATTTCAAGTAAATGCTAAAGCGCATTAGATAATGAAATATATTGACGCGTTGTGTGTTTAACTGACCAGTGGAAGCCACTCGGCCACTTGTACTAAGTAAGCCCTATTCTCCACAGTGGTCACTGAGCCCCCCAACGGTCTGAAGTTGAATCTGCGCTCCACCTACTTCAAAGTACGGCAGGAGCGCCTCGAGAGCTGCCCCCATCCCGCGTTCCGGCCCCTCATCTACGTGCTGGCCTTCTTCCACGCCGTCGTCCAAGTAAGTTAGCCATAGATAGCACAATTTACAGTCGGATCCCAGCTGGTCGAGTATGCGAAGTTGTTTATTTATTAATCTCTTAATTTCCAGCAGCTGAAAGCTTTTCACAGACAACTTGCACAATTGATTGAGCAGCGCTGCAGCATAAAATTGATATTGATCGTCCGGTTGGTGGCACTTCGATTAATCTGAATTTTGTATCCGCAGGAACGGCGCAAGTACGACAAATTGGGCTGGAACATAGCGTACGACTTCAATGACACGGACTTCGAGGTGTGCACCGAGATCCTGCGCACCTATCTCACCCGTTGCATGGGCGCAAAGATACCCTGGAACAGCTTGAAGTACCTTATCGGCGAGGTGATGTACGGCGGACGGGTGATTGATGACTTTGATCGGCGCATCACCAACTGCTACATGAACGAGTACATGGGCGACTTTTTGTTTGACGAATTTAATCAGTTCCACTTCTACGAGGACGACAATGTGGACTACTGCCTGCCGGACGAGGAGACGGTGCTGAAGGAGGACTACATAGGTGAGTGACGGGTGATGGACAGTGGGAGGAGAGGACGTATACATATGTAATGCTTTGATAACAGCGCACATCGACAAACTGCCGCTGGTCAACAAGCCGGATGTGTTTGGTTTGCATCCGAACGCGGAAATCGGTTATTACACAATGGCAGCACGCAGCATTTGGAGCAGTTTGATTGAGCTTCAACCGCAAACGGGTGAGTAGCCGACCAATTCACTATTTAACCGCCATCCCGGCGGGCGTATCGGTCGAGATAGCCCTCGAACCAGCACCCTTCCATATTCCTGCATGCATGTATAGTATAGTACATATCTGATTCCCATAAAGTCGACCGCTTATCACACGTTTACGCGTCCCATCCATTGATAATTCGAATCGGAAAAAAGTAATGATAATAATGTAATATACAAGTGCTGTAGATACGAGTAGCGCCAGACCTGGTAAATGGTTCAATTTGCATGCAACGTGTGCCAATTGTCAGCCGTTTATTACATTTTATCTTGTTGATTTTCATTTCTGCACAGGGCTGCTCTGCCCAGCTATGCTATGTGTTGTATTTTTGGCATGTTGAATTTTTAATTTAATTTAATTAATTAGTTGCGGTTTTGCAATTAACTTTATTGCATGCGCCATTATTGCCGGCGCAGAACAGCAATGCACACATTAAAAATTAAAATAGAACCGCACACACGCGGGCCAGATACACAGTCAGAGTCAGGTCGGGGGGAGTGACCCTCGAAACCCATTTCGTCCTATATCACCCCACTCCCGACTGCACTCACTCACTTTCATCGGGCTGCCACAAATCGCAGCGAATCGAGTTCAAACCTCACCGCAACGACCGCCATCAGAATTACCAAAAAATGGTGAAAACGTCACCCAAAAGTCGATAATTTTGCGTTACGGGCTTAAACGTGTTAAAACCGCCATCAGAGTGCACTTTCCCCACAATGCTCCACTCCAGGACACCATTCACCATCCTACCATCCACCTCGTTTATTTGTTTATCCACTCGCACACGTCCATGCATCCATCCTTGTAAATAAATGTATATACAATTTGGAATACTTTTTTAAATATATTCGCACACATGAAGTGACCAAGTGGACCCCGACAGAAGTCAATCCTGGTAAAGTATTTCGCGCAAACAAAACGGCCCCAACACTGACCCAACTCCCTCGATTGTAAATAAAAACAATAATAAGAGCAAATATTTCTACTGATTAAAAATCGAGTTTAACAATTTAATTTCCATCCATCGGGGACCGCCCCAAGATAAAATCCAGCAAAAAATGTCAGCTGCAGGGGATTAAAAATCACTACAAAAGATATTTCCAAATAGATTATTGACAAAAAACTGTATTGATTTTATTGAAAGATTTTCCGCCGCTGCCCCAGTTGGTCAAAATATATCTGCCAAATCCATATAATTAATATATCTAAGATTAAATAAACTTGACAACTGATTTCCGAGCAGAAATAACTCCGATCGGCCACCGTGCAGTCCATACCAATATGCTCCACATTGCAGCAAGTAGTACCCTGAAAAATGGCTGTAATTTGCATATTCATGAGCTTTAGTATTTGCTAATTGACACTTGAACAAAAAATGAAGCTGTGAACAAAAAATTGTATTTGGGCGCCGTCAATACAGGCGAGAGATAAAAAGGCAAATTAATAAAAACCCAACATTCAAACGAAATGGGTGGAAAAAATGTTCGGGGAAAAGGCAAATGGAAAAACCACAGCAGCTGCATATATTTCATAAGCTTTTCCGCCCTTTCCTTTGTCCCGGGCAGTCCTCCCACTACCACAATCCGGTCTTACACTTCTTCTCTGCTTCATCCAGGTGAGGGCACCGGCGGAATCAGTCGTGACGACTTCATCGACTCTGTGGCCGCCGGGATACTGAAGAAACTGCCAGCCGCGTTCGAGACGTGGCGCATCCGCAAACAGATCCAGATGAGCCTGTCACCCACTGGGGTGGTGCTGCTGCAGGAGCTGGATCGCTTTAACCTGCTGGTGGTGCGCATCAAGAAGACCCTGGAGCTCCTTCGAAAGGTAACTAAGAGATTGTCCGCCACGGCACTGGCTGTCAATAGAGGCCGCACATAAATCCTTCAGGATTGTTTTGCATTTTCCCATTTGTTTATGCATTTGCCAACTTGGCCGGCTACCAAGCAAACAAAGGACAAATTTGAATGTGTGCAGTGGCAGCTAGAGCTGGGTGGGGGCTAAGGCTGCATTTTGTTGCCAAAATAAATTTACAAATGCAAATGAACTCTGGCTCCCTGCTGCCGCAGCATCAATGGTCCTGGCCCCTGCACCAGTCACGCCCACACATGTGCCGTCTTCATTGTGCCTTTTAATTTAATTGCATGCTCTCCGCAGGCCATAGCTGGCGAAATCGGCATGGACAATGTGCTGGACAACATTGCCAACTCTTTGTTCAATGGCCTCCTGCCAGCCGCGTGGAGCAAACTGGCGCCTGCGACATGCAAGCAGTTGGCCAGCTGGCTGGAGCACTTGCGGGTGAGTACGCTTATAGGCTTGGCTTCGGGCAAGGGTGGGTCATCCAGATGAGGATGCGCCGGGCACTATACCATCCTTGCTGGCGCGGCTCATTAATCAACTGGGCGCAAAATCAATCAAGGTGAGTTCGTGTCCCCTAATCATTTCATTTGCCTAGCTTCGCGCCGTTCAATACAAATACTGGTGCCTATCCGGAGAACCCCTGGTCATGTGGCTGTCTGGACTTCATATACCGCAGAGCTATCTCACGGCCCTGGTGCAGGTGAGTCTGCATTGTCACACCGTTACGGTGGGCGGACATTAACCGAACTCGTCTAACCCCCCTTTTGGTCTCACCTGCAGATTGCCTGTCGCAAAAACGCCTGGCCCCTGGATCGCTCCACCCTGTTCACCTACGTAACCAAGTTTGCGGACCCCGACGATGTGGAGGAACGTCCAGTGACGGTGAGTGCTGGGGATACGCCCTTTTGCCATTCTAAATGCAAAACGATGGCAAAACTCTGTTCTGCTCCTGGCTCCTGTGCCCTATTCCGGGTTCAGGAGTGGAATTTATACAGAAAGAAATGGGTTTTAAAATAACTTCTTGATCCATCATTTAAATAGATTACTTTCAGTTAAATATTTATAGAAATGTAGATGCCACTCAATAGTATCGCAATACATTTCAAAGTACATTTTTACATCAATTTTTATTTCTATTAATATTTAAACACTTTTTTTCTTGGAGTGTGGTCTAGGACTGGCACTAATTTCGTAATTAGGAATTCTGTTTGCATTTTAATCGCTCAACTTTTTGCAGGGCTGCTTTGTGCATGGTCTGTACATAGAGGGTGCTCGCTTTGACTTGGGCATCAATCAGCTGGCGCGTTCCCATCCCAAGATCTTGGTCGAGGAGCTGGCCATTCTCGCCGTGGAGCCCATAGAGGCGCATCGTCTCAAGCTGCAGGTATGTTTGGGTTCTCGGGATAGGAAAATGAGTTGGAGCATGGCTGGAAAGCGTTGGGCTGCCACCAGAACAACCGGCTATCTGCAGATCCTGGCTTTAACGCCGTCTGGCAGTGACAAGTACTAATGTGCCCTTGTATCTATGTCCGTACATATGCGAGGGCGGCGACAGTGGTGGTAGCGGCGTGGGCGTGGCCACGCTGATATTTGTTTAAATGCATCGCACTAAATTACCAACAGCTTCCGCACCCTCTCGGGCAACTAATGGGGCATCTGTTGGGCTAATTGTTTCTGATTTTAAATTGCGGAAGCTTTACTTTACTCTGGTGTTGGCGCTTTAAATGTGGATAGCAACTAATTAATTTGTAACTTGTTTCTGTGTAATTTTTAGAACACCTTCCTGGCCCCCGTTTACACAACATCGCTGCGCAGGAATGCGATGGGCGTGGGCCTGGTCTTTGAGGCAAACTTGGCCACTTCCGAGGATCTAAGCCACTGGATATTGCAAGGCGTTTGCCTCACGCTCAACACGGACACCTAAGTTATAGAGTTTCAAAAAAGACTGATCATAGTTTGGTATCGATTCTTTTTTCAAATTTGTATTATTCGTTTGTTTCCACATACAAAAAATGCAGTTTCTTTGGCTGGTAAAAAGTTGTTATTAATTATATTACCCATCTTCGGAATAATAATTGTCCAGAACCCAATGACTAGTTAAGAAACCTCCATAAATTACCCATAAATATATTGGAAAAAAAGCCATTTCTTGTTAAGTATTGATTAATATTATTCGAAAAGTTTTTACTAAAGCCAAATAAATCTATGTTTACAGCTCTGTAGTGGCAATGGAGTTTATTATTAAGTACGTAGTTTGCTAGTGCCTGTCAATAACGTGATTTGTGCTTGATCCGCCTGATATGCTCCCGATCCGCGTGGCATTACCTCCGCCGCCAGCAGCCGAAGCAGCTCCGGAACTTGTCGAGAATGGTGGACTTCATGGACGGCAGCAGAAGCTCGAGATTCTGGGTGCCGGCACTGTCATCCGACTCCAGATCCGAGTCGATGGTCATTTCCTGTATGCTGAACGTGTCGGTCAGTTCGTGGTTTTGCTGGCGGCGCTTGGATCGCTTCAGCTGGGCCGGAAAGAAGGATATCTCCTCCGCCTCGTCGCTGCTCTCAGACTTGTAATCAACCAGAGGCTTGTGCTCGGGCTCGCCAGGAATGGGCAGTCGATTGATGGGTATCAAGGTGGACGACTGTGTCTTTGTAGCCTGCGAAATTAAAAGTCATTACTCTTAGGTAACCATGATTGTAAACCTGGTGGGTCAGCGACTCGTACCTGCTCTTCTTGGAACTGGGTGTAGTTCCTTCGAGCGCGCTCGACCTTCAGCTCCAGTTTTCGCTGCAGTATGCGGCAGGTGTTGGGTGGCTCGTGGCCTCGACCGGCGGCCGCTTCCTCCTCATCGATTTCTATGGTCGTGGGGGCATACACCTTGCCGGCACCCCTAAACGCCACCTCAAACTCCAGATCCGACATATGCTTGGGGGCTCCGCTGGCCGTTTTCTGCGGTGACGTTGGCATTGGCAGTTGGAAAATTGCATTGTTTCAGCTGTTATTGCACTTACCAGCAGGCCAGCAGCACCATCCTCGTATATGTTGGACTGCCTGTCCTCGCTATCAATGCCACTGTCCTCCATTTTTTACCCAAACTCTGTATAACTCTGTATAATTTGTTTAAAAAGAAGAAACTGCACGCGATGTCAATACAAACAAATTTTATTGTGCTACTCCCAACTCCAATCAACCCCAATGTGGCGCAGGGCGCAGAATCCGGCAAACAGCTGGCCCGGAAAAGCTTAGGAAAAATCAATAACCCCTTACTGGTAGCGTTGCCAGACAGGGTGGTATTTCAAATCTCTTTTTTTTCGATGGATCCTATAGAATTTTGAAAAGATAACTAGAAACCTTGTTTATACATATGCACTTTTTATTTTGTAATTTTAATTTATTTACAATTATTTGTTTTAGGCTTAAATGCTTTACTTGATGCACAGAAATGTCGTAGAAACTATAAAGTAGAATGCAAATTCGTTTTAGCCGCTTTCCTCGATGTGTAGAATTTAAGGTTACTCGTAATCAAGAATAAATAGGAACACAAACATAAAAACACTAATACTATTTTCTTTTGTTCTGGAAGAGAGTATACACTAAATTAGATGTTCGTTTTTCTTGATCTGTAGGCTATGGCTATGGTTGGCTTTTTGGTCTCTTTTTCTTTTGTGATGGCCTCCAAAATGGGAGGCTCGAAAATGTTTATCCAATTATTCTTGTGTCGTGCGTTTAAACTTTAAACTCGATTCGATGCGATTATCGAAAAAAAAAAATACTCGGCTCGCTAGGCGGAAGTGTCTGGAATTACACTGCGTTGGGATGTTGGCCCACAATTTGGCCGGCCAGCGTGCAGGACCTGCAGCAGAACTTGGCGTAGTAAGGATTGAAGCAGTACCGACCCTGGACGATCAGTCTGCAGTTGGCGAAGTACGGATTGTCGATGCACTCCGGCGACACAGGTATGGCAGCTGTAAAGTTTTCTTGTTTAAGAGGTCTTTATAATCTTTAATTTGAAGGACTTACATTGAATGTTAACCTTCTCTTCGCTTACGAAGTAACTGAAGGCGTTGCTGGCCTTGCAACCATATTTGCCCGAATCCTCGGTGGTTACATCGCTCAGAACCAATCTATGTGGCTGGGCTGTAAGGGTACAAGTTAGTAGGTACAAGTCCTGTTCAAGGATTTCTGTTGGAAGATCTACTCACTTGTGATTTGAACACGATCGCTTTCGTACAGGGGCACATTGTCCTTAATCCATGTCACGTTAGGCGCTGGATATCCTTGCACAGAGCAGCTAAGTGCAATTGTGGAGCCGGGTAAGTATTTATTCGCTTGGTCAAGGGCCACCACGGCATGGGCATTAACTGTGAAACAAAGTAATGTCCAAGTTAGATATTTTTCCAGTCCATAGTAAGAACACATATCAAACAGAACAATCATAATGCCAGGCCAGCAAACATACATGCATGTGCTCTCCACTTACCTTGGGGTGACGGCACGTAGGGCGGCCGTGTGGGGAAGTAGGGGTAACTGGGTCGCTGGGTCACCGGTCGGGTGGCCGGGGCCAACACATATTGAAGGTATTCGGCATCCTCGTTGGTCAGTGCCCGGGCGGGTCCAACCGCCTTCAGAGTGACGCGGAGAGTCACAGGACGTCCCGTGATGTACACTTCGCAAGTGTACGGGCCCAGATCAGACAACTGGATTGAGTTGAACACCAGCGAGTAATCCTCGCGGTCCATCTCGGCCCGTTTGCCGTTCAGACCGAACAACTTGTTGTTTCGCCACCAGCTGACATGCGGCCGCGGGTAACCGCCGGACGGACAGCGAATCACAGCCGGTGCGTTAAGTTGCACGATCTGCGTCACGTTCTTGTCACCGAAAATGTAGGCGGGGATGGGTACGGGATCTACCATCACCAAGTTGCAAGCAAGGGATTATAAAAGCAGGCAGCATGCGCAAAAAATTTGTAATGCAAAGTAGTTAGTTAGAAAAAAAAATCCAACACCGAGTTAAGTAATTAGTACAATAATATTAAATTAATAATTAAAACATTCTTTTCGAACTTACCCGTCACTTGAAGCACAACCTCACGTCGCACAGGATCTCCCAGGCCGTTGCTGGCCACACAGACGTAGGTGCCATCGTCGGTCTGGCGCACCTGGACAATGGTCAGGTCACCGCTAGAGGTCAATACGTAGCGACCTTGGTTCGTGTCGATCTGGGAAGAAGTTGTTTAACCTCACATATCCATGGATGCTATTATCCATTACTTACCACGACGTTCTTAAGCGACCAGGTGACGTTCGGTGCTGGGTTTCCGGTGGCGAAGCAGCGCAGGACAGCAATGCCGCCAATCGAGGTCTGAACATCAAGCTCTTCTGGTCTCTTCGGCTCCAGGGCGACCCTTCGGTCTCCCGGATATACCAGGACTGGGGCTTGGGTGCTGCTGGGCAGGTCGGAGCGAGCGGGACGCACGCAGATCTGGCCGCAATCATCGCTGCAGCACTTGTTGTCGCCTCGGCAGTCGGCATCGGTGTAGCACTCACGGTTGCAGTTGCTGACATTGGCGGCAAGGGCGGGGCAGCTGCCGGGCTTGTTCACATCGCGGCAGACCGGGATGAACTGACGGTCGCCAGTCACCTCAATGGCACACTGCTGGCCCTCGGGACAGTTGTAGCCATCGCAAGGGTTCTCGCAGACGCACTGGGCGCACTCCGGTTGGGCAGGGGCCGCCTGACGCCGCACGCCGTAAGGACAGCGAATATCGCGGCACTCAGCGTCGAAGCTGTCGCACTGACCTTGACCGATCTCGTTGTTGGTCTCGTTCTCAACAGGGTTTGTATCTAAAGAATAAAAATTAGAGTTAAATGTGGTTCGAGGCAGAACATTCCCAACCCTTATACCCGTGCAATCTTAAGCCTATTGAAAGTGCTAAAGTTCAAACTACTGATGCTTTTTCAAGGCAACTACTAAGTCAAGCAAAGTAAGGGTGTGCGGGGTGCTGGGTGCGCTGGGTGGAGTGGTGGGTGGGTGCTGAGTGCTCTGTGGTGCAGAGAGAGTCAGAGAAAGGTGGCCGGAAGGCAGGCTTACTTCCGCAGAGACTCGTGCATGCCTCGAACGACCGGAAGTTGTTCTGGTTGCCCGAGCAACCGGCGTAGATGAAGGAAATACAGGTGCCGTGCGAATCATCGTAGTACCAACGGCGCTCGTGCACCGACGGTCCGTTGCAGTGGCCCATCGCCAGCGGCAGCAGACAGATTTCTACTTACGCAAGAGAAAAACCGTTAGCCCAAGTGATCTCCGTGCCAAACCGCCCACACGAGCAGCCCCAGATATTGTTACCTTTCGAAGAAACCCCTGCGGGCTCACGGGCCCCGATGCAAACCGCCTGGCATTCGTACAGGTCGTTGAAGCGATTTCCTGTGCCATCGCAGCCGCCGTAGGTGAACGGCTCACACCTCTGGGTCTGGCGGTTGAAGAAGTACTTGGTCTGCCACTGAGTGCACGGACCCGTCGTCACCGGCTCATTGCAAACGTCTAACGCGAAACATTAAATCACCTGAAACACCTAAACCCCCCCATCCCGAATTCGCCACACTTACCCACTCCCTTGAACTCGCCGCATTGCCGCTCGCACTGGTCGCGGGTCTCGAAGCGGTTTCCGTTTCCACCGCATCCACTGTACGAGAAGGCTGTGCAGGCCATCTGCTCGTTGTCGTAGAACCAGGCAGTGGTGATGTTATCGCACTCACCAGCCTCTGGGGCCAGAGTGCACACTGAGTAGGTCTGGAGGCATGTGAAAACGGTGATCATATTAATATGAATTCTTAATTGAAGACACTGATGAACTTACCGGTGCTGGTGCTGGGGGCTCCACAGGCTGCGCTCCCGGATTACAGTAGCCAAGACACTCCTGTTCCGAGAAGAAATTGTTGCGGTTGCCGCGGCATCCAGTGAACTCAAACTCGTGGCAGCGTCCGCTGCGCTCGTCAAAGTACCACCGTCGGGAGAGATCGTCACAACGACCTCGGACCGGCGGCAGCGAGCATGTGGTCTGGGCATCGTGGCACTGTTCCTGGCACTCCTCTTCGCTGGCGTAGTTATTGGCGTTGCCTCCACAACCGGTGAACACGAATTCGTCGCAGAGTCCCTCCTGGCTGTTGTAGAACCAGCGGGTCGCGTTATCATAGCAATTGCCGGGCTCTGCGTTGAGGAAACACTTGGACGTATCCGGCTCAGATTCACCAAATCTTGTGTCTATGGTTGGAGAGCTGCTACAACGAGCGGAACAATCCTCCTCAGAATCAAAACGGTTATCGTTGCCGCCACAGCCGCCGTAGTAGAACTGCTGGCAGCGTCCCTCCGTTGAGTTGTAGTTCCACTTGAGCACCCAGTCACCGCACTCACCAGGAGCAGCGGGCTGTTCGCACTGGGCCGGAGCTGCCGGTGGCGGAGGCTCTCTGGATGGGGCCGGGGCTGGAGCTGGCTGTTGCTGCTCCTGCTGTCTGTTGCATTTCTCCTGGCATTCTGACTCCGTTTCGAAGCGATTGCCATTGCCGCCAGAACCGCCATAATAGAATTGACGGCAAGCCCCACTAGATCGCTCAAAGTACCATCTAAGTTTCCAATTGCTATCGCTGCCAGCGTCGACGGCTTCGTCGCAGATGTGCAAGCTGCTGGGAGCTGGTTGGGGAGTGGTAGTCGGCTCAGGTTTGCGCTCACAGCGAGCCAGACAGGCCTCTTCGCTGGTGAAGCGATTCTCGTTGCCTCCACAGCCTCCGTAGTAGAACTGACGGCAGCTCTGATCGCCTGTGTCATAGTACCAGGCGGCCTCGTAGTTGGCGCACTCGCCCACCTCGGCTGGGATCTCGCAGATGTCCTTGGCTGTAGGGGTTGGGGGAGGCAGAGGTTCAGTATAGGAGGGTGTTCAAGGACAATGGTGGACACATTGAAAGCAGCCGCTTGGGCAGACAACATTGAAAGCTTACCAACTTGCCGGGGGCAATGGTCCTCGCAGGACTCCAAGGTGGGGAAGTTGTTCTTGTTGCCACCACAACCAGTGTAGTAGAAGGGCACGCAGCGCTTCTCGCTCTCGGAGAAGTGCCACTTGGCGAGGCGTTCGCTGCAATCACCAGTTTGCTTAGGCAGCGAGCAGTGCTCTTTTGGGGGACGAAGGATAAAGGTGCAGGAGGAGACAGGTGTAGAGTTGGAGGCAGGTGCGGGTGGTGGAGTCAGGTGGTCAGCATAACAAGTAACAAGCAATCATGCGCATACAATAAACCAAGTAACCAAGCATTTTGGAAGGAAAAGGAGAGTGCGGGAATAACATACCGTTAACCAGGATAAAGATTCAAGTTTAAGCTTAAAACTACTTAAAACCTTAGGCAAGACTTATCTGATAACTAAACCCAAAACCCAGTAAAAGAAAACACAACAAAGTAAATCTGATCTCAAACCTTTGAGCACGCCCGGCTGGCGGCAGTTGTAGTTGCAAGCGTGCTCCGTCGGGTAGTTGTTCTTGTTGCCCTTGCAGCCTCCGTAGGTGAAGGGTCGGCAGATGTCGGTTTGGTTGTCATAGAACCATCGTTCAAAGTTTCCGTTGCAAGGTCCGCTCTCCACGGGCTGCTCGCAGGTGGCTGTAAGTATATATATTTTTTAATAAAATTAAAAGTCCTCTTTTTTTGGAGTAAAAATTCTTACGAAGGCTCTCGCTGACAGCACATTTATTCTGACACTGTTCCAAGCTGTCAAATCGGTTGTTGGTGCCGTAGCAGCCTCCATATTGGAACTCCTCGCACCGGTTGCGCTCCTCATCGAAGTACCATTTCTTGCTAAAGCCTGAACAGGGTCCAGAGCTCTTGGGCAGCAGGCAGATGTGTGGGCCACTGTATTCCTGGCAGGTCTCCTTGCACTCGGCCTCGCTCTCGAACCGATTTGCGTTGCCATCGCGGCCACCATACCAGAACCGAGCACAGCCTCCATAGGCAGTATCGAAGTAGTACTTGACACTGAAGTTTCCGCCAGTTCCAGTTTCCTTGGCGAGCCCACAGGCCTTCTGCGGCGGCTCCTGGACATTTTCGCAGCCTCCAAACTTCTCGTCCGTCGCCTTGCTGACTCCGTCGGGGCAGCAGCCGAACTTGCTCTCCAAGCAGGTGCAGCCTTCGAAGTTTGGTCCCTTGGCAGGGGTCTTTTCGTCCTCGCAGCACTTGAATTCCGTCTGGGTGCAGTGGCAACCATGGTGGTGAGGTCCCTTGGCGAAGGTGATGCCGTCGGGGCAGCAGCCAAACTGGGTGGCCTCGCAGGGGCAGCCCTCGAACTTGGGTCCCTTGGCGGCGGTGATCTTGTCGGGACAGCAGCCGTGCTGGGTCGTTTCGCATGGGCAGCCCTCCTGGTTGTAACCATGGGCGGCAGTCTTTTTGTCCGGACAGCAACCGTAGGGCGTGTAGTGGCACTCGCAGCCTTCAAAGTTGGGTCCTCGGGCAGCCAAAACGTTGTCGGGACAGCAGCCATGGGGGCTGGACAAGCAGCAGCCTTCTCTGTTGGGACCGTGGGCAGGAGTTTCGTTGTCTGGGCAGCAACCAAAGCGTTCTGAGGTGCAGGGAGCACAACCCTGGCCATTGGGACCTCTGGCAGCGGTGCGCCCATCTGGGCAGCAACCATGTTCGGAGGCACTGCAGCCCTCGGGTGTCTTTGGCTGTTCACATCCTTCGAAGTTTTCGCCTGTGGCTGGAGTCTTTGCGTCAGGGCAGCATCCGTATTTGCCGAATGAGCAAGACTTCTGGACAATTTCCTGTTCCGGTGCTCCAGAGCCTTCAATCTCGGTTTCGGTGGTTTCCTCTGGTTTCGATTCCTCGGTTGTGGTTGTGGTTGCAACAGTGGTTGTCTCGGGACATCCCTCATTGTCCTCACCTTCGGCAGCAGTGAACTTATCGGGACAACATCCGAAGAGACTTTCGGCGCACTGGGACTTGGGGCAGCCCTTGTTGTTCTTGCCCTTGGCAGGAGACACTCCATCCAGACAGCATCCGAACTTGGTATCGGCACAAGTCTTGGCAATGGGGCATCCCTCGTCGAAGGGTCCTTTGGGAGTGGATTTGCCATCTGGACAGCATCCATACTTCGATTTGACGCAGCTCTTTGTTTTCGGCTTGCATTTGCGAGTCGAGCCCTTGCTGACCGTGGTCTCAAAGGAGTAAGGAGTGCTGGTCTCGTCCTCATCCTTGTCGGTTGAGCTCCAAATGTCGGTAGTACTGCTGCTGCCATCTGTAGACAACGAGCTATCAGTTGATCCTTCTGTTGTGCTGTCGGTGGATCCTTCGGAAGAACTCTCTTCAGTAGGACCACTTTCGGTGGTTTCATCAGTACCATCACTTTCAGTGCTCTGCGTTGAGTCTGTGGAAACGGAATCCGTGGAAGCTGAAGAATCAGTGGCTTCTGAGGAGCTTGTGAGATCGGTGGCAGACGATGAACCGGCAGTTGTGGAGTCGGAAACATCTGTCGATCCTGTGCTGCCCTCTGTGGTCGAGCCCTCGCTGGCGCCAGCTTCAGTGCTTTCTGTTGAGCCGAGGCTTGAAGATTTAGACGCTTCGGTAGACACTGAAGAACCATCGGAGCTGGCACTGTCGGTTGAGCCGTCACTAGAGCCATCAGTGGAGCCGGTATCCGTGCTGCCCACTTCAGTCGTTGTGTCACTAGATCCGTCGCTAGATCCATCACTGGTGTCAGTTGCACCTGAATCGGATGTGGACTCACTAGTATTTGCTTCAGTCGTGTCTCCATCGCTGGATGCTTCACTAGTCTCCGCAGCAGTAGAATCGGAAGAGCTAACACTAGATTCGGTCGATGCTTCACTGCTTGTCGAGGACTCGGATGAGGAAGAAACATCAGTTGAAGACTCTGTCGAGTCAGTGGACGATTCGGGTGTAGTTGGTGTGGTGTTATCGGAGGTGGATTCTGTGGAGTCCGTAGATGAATCTGATGTGCTCTTGGAACTATCGGTAGAGCTAGATGAGTCAGTGGAACTGTCATTAGCCTCAGTAGAATCAAAGGCGGAGGAAGCAGATGCCTCAGTAGAGGATTCAGCCTTATCTGATGTCTGGTCAGAAGAGTCGCTTGAAGCAACCGTGGATTCAGTGACATCCGTGGAGCCAGAAACATCAGTAGAGTCGGAGTCGTAGACGTCCGTTGAGCCAACCGATGATGAGTCTGTAGATCCACCCGTGGCATCTGTACTGCCAGAAACATCGGTAGAGGAGGAGGCAGATGCTTCCGTTGAGCCCTCCGATACATCTGTAGATCCCTCCGAGGATCCATCAGTAGATCCGCTAGAATCGGAAACAGAGGAGCCTTCAGAGGTTGCTTCAGAGGTTGCATCGCTTGATTCGCTGGAGCTGGAAACGCTGTCTGTTGAGCTGGACACATCGGTTGATGCATCTGAGCTGGATTCAGAAGTGTCTTCGTCATCACCGCTTCCTTCAGTAGAAATTCCGCTGTCTGTCGTTGATTCGGAGTCGTCTCCAGAGCCCTCAACCGTGCTTCCTGTTGAGGAAGACTCGTCGTCAGGCGTCGAAGGACTGTCACTCAACATCAGCTCTTCAGCCTCAATTGTAGTTTCCGTCTTTGCCTCGCCATCTAAATCGACACCTTCGGAGGTCTGTAAATCATCTGACAAGCTATCAATAACCAGTTCGATACCATCCTCATCGCACTCCTCCTCATCATCCTCGATAGGTTTGTCAGTGCTGGTCAGGGGCAGGATCTCATCCTCATTGCACGCTTCGGTATTACATTTTTCAGAGAGAGATTCGAGCTTCGATTCGTCGCAGGTCAACGACTTGGTTCCATTTGATAGGCAGAGGACTTCACGAACCCGTTCACCGCCACCACATGACTTGCTGCATTCTCCCCAAGGTCCGGTGAACCATTCTCCAGGACATTCCTTCTCTTCACCTTCACACTCCTGCTCGGATTCGGGCTTGGTTGCTTTGTCACATTTGGAATCATCAGAGGCTGGAGTTACAGTTTTTCCATCGAACTCTCCACATATGACAATACGAGATTTGGCTCCCTTTCCGCAGGCGGCGGAGCACTTGCTCCACTCGGACGAGAACCACTGGGCCTGGCACTTGGGCGCCGTGCAGGGTCGGGTAAGGGAGGGCACTTCGGGCTCACAGAACTTTTCGGGATACTCCTTTCCATCCTTGTTGCCACAAATAGCTGTGCGAGTCTCAGTGTTTTGCCCACAAGCATTGCACTGCAGAAAAATAGAGCTAAGCATTGAATAACTAAAACCATTAATAGTCGACTTACTCCACTCCACTGCGAGATGATCCAATCAACGCCCTCACAAGGCGCCAACAGGCAGGTCTTCTCCTCCTCTGGCTTGTCTTCAACGCAGTCCTCATCGGGCAGAACGCGTTTGCGTCCGTCCTCCTTGATGTAGCAGGTGACCTTCCTTGTTTGTTTGCCGTCACCGCAGAGCTTATCACACGGTGTCCAGGGTCCCAGATGGTACTTGGGGCAGTTCTTGATGTCCCGATTACATTCCTTGATCGTGGCTGGCTTGTTTCCGACTTCCTTCAGGCAAACGGCATCGTCTTCAACGGTGTGTTCACTAAGAAAGTTTTATTTTAGTTTTGTTTTTTAAATAAAATTATCTACACTTCTTACCCGCTGGAGGAAATTCGTTCACAAGTTACTGTTCTGTTCTGGGAGCCATCGGATCCACAGCCCTTGGAACACTTGGTCCACTCTCCCTCCACCCAGTGAGGGGCACAGGGTTCCGTTCCACAAGCTTGCTCTTCAACAGGCTTGGATTTGGCATCGCACAGAGAGGGATTAACCTCTGCTAGGGTAAGGCGGTTGTTGCAGGTAACACCACGTCGCTGAGTGCCACCACCACACTTGGCAGTGCAGGGGCTGAACTCCAGATGGGTCCACGTGTGCGTGTCCGGTTCAGAATGGCTCAGAGATTCCGGGATGCTGTACTCGTAGTCGATGCTTACGTTCTTCTCCTGAACCAGCATTACAATGAAGATGCTCTCCGAGATGGGACCGCTGCAAGTTAGCTGGTCGGGAGCCGCAAAGCCCATGGGCTTGCGCTGATAGTTCCACCAGGAGTTGGCGAAGAGCATTGGTCGCGGGAAGTCGATGCGCCAGTCACCGTTCAGGTAGTAGTGGCCGCTGTGGTTGCGGCAGGCCAAGTAGTTGCTGGAGGGCGCCGTCTCCTCGACACGGATGTTAGTGGCTCCTTGCGGCAACAGCAGCAGATCATTGTATCCTGGAGCAAGGTCCTTGGTGGTGAAAGTGTTGCGAATGGTTTTGCAGGTACTGCCGTCACCGCCACACTTGCGACACTTGTCCTCCTTGGCGTCGCTTCCCAGCATCATGTCGCAGCCCACGGGCATACACTGGCCATCCACGCACACGTCCAGATCCTTGTCGTTACACCGGGTGCCATCCACTACCTTCTCTTTCTGGCGGTAGTAGAAGCGCTCGCCCTTGGGCATGCAGTTCAGCTCACAAGGATTGGGCGCGTTTGTGTACGGCACCCACTCGTGGTAGATATCATCGAAGGGCTGGTCATCGAAGCGCGAACACTGGAGGGCACGGAAGTCGGGATCCTGCTCCGGACAGTCCTGCGTGTTGCAGGAGTAGTAACGACGGTTGCCGCCACTGCAGATTGCCTCTCCATAATGGCTGTTGGAATAGATACAGGTGCAAGTTCGTTAGAATGATATCGAATTTAAAGAATGAGATTTGATAACTTACTCCCTTCGCAGGCACTCTCTAGTCTGGTAGGAGACACCTCCGCCACAGGTACGGGAGCAGTCGGAGGGGGAGCTCCAGTCGGACCACTCGCTGGGATCATCGCCTTCTCCGCCGGGCGTTACGGAACTCTCCGGTAAGTACATGTTCGCACCATATTGTCTTTTCTGTCGGAATCCTTGCTGAAATGGAAACCAAAGGGTAAGACGCTGATCCGCTCTACAGACCGTCATACTTACGTGTCTGCTCTGGGAGTCGTGGATGCCGGCCAGTACAATGAATGCTACCAAGGCAGTTGAGCTGAAAAGGAAGAGCAATGGAGATGGTTTAATTAAACGCCACCTTATTCTCGGACAACTGGGCCATTCATTAAAATCATGGGACCGGAGTCACGTGTTGACTTGTTGCAGATATTTGTTGACTTTGCCGCATGCTTGGACACACGAGTGCTCAGACTCATTAAAAAGAATCAACAGGCTGGACAAGCAGCGGGAGGATATGGCGAGGGGACGCTAATTGGAGTGGGACTTTCTCAAACCAGACCCCAGACCAGGCCAGACCGCGTCCAGCGAAGGGGCACAAACAAAGTTTTGTAGGGCTTCGCGGCGACAGCATGATGAACTTGTTTATGCCCACTAGCCAGAGCAAGCAAACATTGAACTTGTTTTTGCGGCTAATCCAGTGGTTGGGGACAATGGGTTGGTTGGTGGATTTGAGGCGGCAAGAGTGGGACTTGGTCAAGGAAGAATCTGCAATTTCTTCGGTAAGAATTTTTTTATTATGCGCCGCCGCACGGACCATAAATATGCAATGCCACATAAACAAGACATAATTTAGCAGCACTTCCTGCCGATTTGCCAAAAAAAAAGGAGAAAAATCTGAAAAAAGGACAAAACCCAAAGCGGAGAACAAGCAAATAATAAGTACCGCGCCAGAGAATATATGATTATGCCGCAGACAATCCGACGCCGCGTCGTCGGTTCGCTTCTTAACTTTGCCCGGCGAGGCCAAGGAGGACGCCCTGCCCGAGGACAAGTTGCGTGAATATGTCAAAGGCGTTCAATGTTGCAGGGAACATTGCAGTCCGTGCAGTGCTGCATCCGTTGTTGGGGGCTTGCCAATTTAATTTCTGACGCTGCGTGCAGGGAGTCTTCGTTTCGTTACGCTTGGACGCCTCCGACTGATGGCGCTCGCCTCCTGGCTTCCTCGACAGCATCCAGCATCCAGCACCCAGCACCAGTGTCCCCAACATCCTTGGTCCTTGCCACAGCAGGCGTGCTGCTTATGACAGCCTCAGTGCCGGGGGCCGGGCGCCAAGTGTGGCCATAATTTTTATGCTTCTGTGTTGGCATTTTAATGCAATTTGAGCGCATTTCCCTTTTGAAACCAATGCCAGGACACCTATTGCTTTGGCAAGGACAACGGCAACCGACAACCGACAACGGCACACATTTCACAGTCCATTGAGTTTTCTTTTTCGGAGGGGGCTCTGTCAAGGGACCGGGGGCGGCGTCACCCGGTCGCCTCCTCCGTTATTGCGTCATGCAAGAAGGATGCTGCGACCAGGACCCCTGCCAAAAACCAGGACCAGCCGTATTAATTGGGCAGTTCCAAGGAAACTGCTGAAGCGACAGAAACCGCAAGAGTATTTCTTGATTTCGATTTCATACGCGGCGGCGGCTGCTGATTACGCAAAATCTCCCGGCTAGTTCAGGCCCGAATCAGAGCGATATAAAGTGGATATAGGCACTGTGGGAGAAATTGCCTAAAATAGGGGCTATAAAGAAGCACAATGAATGTCTAATACAGCTTCCTATACCTTAGCCATTCCACTTACAACAATAAATAAGCTTTGACTTTAAAGGGAAATGCCAGCATAACTCTAAGAACACAGCCGGATTTGGGATTTGGCCCATGGTGAGGAGGGGGCCAAAAAACATTGTTATTGCCACATGCGGCGGATGCCACGTGACACGAGCACAAACAGTTGGCGCAATCGTCAAATAAGTTACACATGTCATGTGAACCACCGACCGCCACCACCGCATAAATGTCAAACAAACGGAGGAAATGCTAAATTCGTCGGAAGCTAATGCCACCAGTGGTCTGACCCGGTTTCTCCCTGGCCCAGCCAAAGTGGCAAGGACTTGGCTGTATCAAAGCAGCCGTCTCAAAGCCAATTAACGGATCGCTGTTGCCTTTCTGGCCAGCAATCGGAACGCCTTAGCTGCCCGACAATGGCCGCCCATTGTTCATTGTCTGCCAGTGGCATTACAATGGCATTTGGGAAGCAGCGTTAAGCGGTGATAATATTTTTTTAAAAGGCAGCGCCAATCACTGCATAGATGCGGAGAGAGCTCTGGGAGCTCTGGTAGCGAGGCGGCCACCCTTTCACTTAGCCCTACAATTGCGGCGATTATCAGTCAACTTGAACAAGTAGCATTGCTGGCATGGATGCAAATCCAGGCCACAGATGCACTCACTCTCACTCTCTAATGGCGCACTCCGCTTGCATCTCCCGTCTCCTCCAGTCTCCAGCATCCAGCAGGCTAGAGATATTCATGATCGTGTAATTGCTTTCAAATGCCTGCCATGCATCGCGATGCATTCTGGGGTAGAATGTTGCAATGACCGTCGTAAATAAAGCGCCTGGTCTGCTAATGAGCTGCAACAACAACACTATCTGCGGCACTTACTCCACAAGTGCGTGCACTTAGCCGCCAAACTCAAGACCGAAAACATATTACGGCTAATCTTTATGCCAAACAAAAAGGAATCTCAAGCTAACCAAAAAATATGTGTATGTTTTTCAGTTTCAAGGAACTTGAAATCCAAACAATGCTCCGAGCAATACAAATAAATTCTGGCCAAATTTCACACCTGACCACGGAGGCCGGCATTTTATTTGTTTACATGACTCATCCTCTGACTTGCACCCACCGGGTATCTCCCCCAGCCATCCCATTCTATCCCGGTCTTCAAGGCGTTCCCATGCCAATTGATTAAGGGCAAAGCTTTAATCAAAAGGCGAGGCATGCAATATCTGCATGCTGCATGCCACAGCTGCCTCTGCTGGTCCCGGGCCCTTTGATGAAATGAAGATGGAATGCCCATGGCCCCCACTAGCCAGCTGCAGTCGTTTGACTTCACTGCCCCCTTTAGTTTTTTATGTTCATTGTAAAAAACGAAACCCAGGCAATGCTGGAATTTCAGCAGAGGGCCGGCTTTCTGCAAATGCCTCTGATTTAATTGCAAAAGTAGTCCCGAATCGGGAAACACAACACTGATCTTCTACATCCTCTCCTCAAGAGTGGAACTTAAGTTACAGCAGATCATTATACCCTTGCAGAGGGTATTATTTTATTATTAGATCTGGATTAGAGCTTTATACATCAAAGCATGCCAATTTTATACTCCAAATAGAATATTAAACATGTGTTTTATATCTGGTAGTCAAATCTAGTAGTGTTACTAGTGCTTTGTGCGTGACTGGAGTGCCTCACCAGCAATTAGGCAGAGATACATCTCATTAGACGGAAGGATAAGTGCAAATGTGTGACATACACGCTCACGTTTGTTTAAATACAATTACATAGTCATACAATTATCGCAAGACAAATACAGACTAATGCAAAACGCCAAATTGTGGCTGAGGTGTGGCCAGGTAAATGTTCATCTTCATGTTTCTGTTGCTGTTGGAAGCTGTCGAAGCTGGAGCTGATGATGATGATGGTGATGACTCTATGAAGATGCGGGTTTGGCAAGGCAGAGGGCGGCTAGCTCGACGACATTTGTTGCAACGGAAGTAAATGTTTGCATTGTTGAAATTTTAATTGCATTTGCATAAAGCAACGCACACAGAGTGGGAGCGACATCCTCCATATAGAGGATGCTGTTGCTGCAAGGGTGATGCTGCTGCTGGAGTTGCTTCATAGCAGGAGATGGCTGCTGCTGCCATTTTGACTGGCAGCCCAGCCCAGCCAAGCAATTATCAATTTCAAAATTAATTTAACTTAATTGAGTAGTGAAAATAATAAACACACGCATAGTGAGTGAGTGCCTTTGCCCTGGAGTGTTTACCGAAAGCGGAGCACTGAGCACTGAGTGAGATTATGCAACAGTTTTGTCCCTTGACAGTTGCAGCACACAAACACCGAAGGGTTATGGGTCTGCCTACAAAGTTGCAGCGTTTCGGGGCTAAAAGGCACAACAAAGTTTGCACAAATGCCTAATGAAATATTTGCCACGCATTTGGCCAACGAGCAGAGCAAATGAGCAAACAGAATGCACAGTTTAAGCGCAGTCAAAGACAGAGTCGTTGGGGGGGCTGCCAGAAAAGGGAAAGAGTTTCCACGACAAGATTTTCTGCGTTTCACTTCGGCAACTTACTGACCCATAAATTTCACTAGCTGACAAAATGCAATGTTCGACATGTAAACAAATTTTTATGGCCAATGTTGCACCAGCCACTTGAAGTGCAGCAGCAACAGCAGCAGCAGCAATAGTCTTTGCCACAAGAGCATCAACACACAGCAGCGAAGCTAATTAGAGGCATCATAATGTAGCTGTCGCGACTGTAAGGTCTCGATCCCGTACCCGTACCCGTACCCGATCCCACCCACATACCCCTCTCCAAACATTGGCAATTTTCTATTTGCCTATTTGCCCAACTCATTCGGTTCGAGATTGCAACAAGCTGCTTGACTTCAAGTTGTATTCACTTATAACTAATAGGCTCTTCAGACGGCACAGGGAAATGTGTACTACTCGGACTAGAAACATGCAACTTTCCCCTTCCTCGAACTTTTGCTCTTTTTGCCAAACTGTGGGAGTTATTAATCAGGCCTATGCGTAAACATTTCTGCGCCAAACTCAAATAACGCAGAAAAAAAAGGGAAGCAGCCACAGGATGCCAAAAAAGTAGTAAATTTCATCACATAATTAGCACAGAACTATGCGGCATAAAAAACTCGCCAGAAGTAAATAAAACTGGCCGAATTTTTCAACAAACGCTCGGCTATTCTGGGAACTTGTACTTTTTATAGAAGAAAATCGGGTTGGGTCATATTTTTGAATCTGTTAACATGGCCAGCCATTTGAATTGTCTGGCCAGGTCATTTAGTTTCATCATTATTAGTCATTACTTATTTCGAATTGATATTTCTGTCTTAACTTAAACTACAACCTGTTCGGTGGATCATGCTGATGAAACAGTCCATGTTTTGTTTTAAAATAAGCTCCACCGCCTGACGCAAACAAATTTCAGTTATTTATAATAGCCTTCAAATGGAAATGGTAACCCAGCCAATTGCGTTAAATTGTATCTTGTCAGCAGAGTACCTGAGTACCTGACGGATAAAATGTGGAGCAGACATTGATTTATAGCGCAATTACGGGCTTTGGCATTGTTTCACTTAGCAATCGAGCAGTGGCAGTACCATCTTACGAATGGCTGATGCACAGCATCCGGAATTTAAAAGCCCAGGTTGGCTGGATGGTACAAAAAAAGGATAAGGTGGTGGTGGGCCATCACTGCCCTGCGTCCCTGACCCTATAAGGGCCATCAATTCGGGCTGCAGTCTGGTCTCTTACTGTCATCAAGATGCGCATCACGTTCCCAAGAACACCCGATCGACGCTTGTCGTCGGTCAAAACATTTTTATGGGTTTAAATTTTTTCTGTTTTTTTTTGGTATCTTGCTTTAGTGGCGGCGAATATTTCACTTGTTGCTGGGGCTGTTGCGGCTGCTCCTGCTGCATGCCCCCTCAAGTGTGCCCCTCCCTTGCAGCCGTTCATATCTCTTTGCAACTCCCAGTTTTTAGGCACATTTTACTGCATGTGACGCATCGTTGGCCTGCTCCTCCTCGTTGGATCTGCAGAATTTTGGATATTTTTGCCGACATGCCATGCTTGCCTTTGGCTTTTATTTTGTTCTCTTGCCGTATTTTGTATCTTGCTCTGCCTCTACAATTTGGCGTCGGCATATTTTGGGGCATCCTTTTTATCTTCCGCGTTTCTGGGGCCAATGAACTGGGGCCGTCTGCCTACTGATCGATCCGATGGCGTGTCCCTCCGTCTGTATCTCGATCTGTATCTGCAACATAAAGATTAACACTAGCATATTTGCCACCGCTGGCATTTGATTTACGCGCTGGACTATGGCATAATTAAACTCCGCCCTGTCGGCAGTCTTTGTTAATTAAGCATAAAACATTAAGTCATGGGAACGAGAATCCCGAGATCGGGAGATGTGCGTATCTTCGGCAGTCGCGAAACCATTAACCATGCCATGCCATGGGGGGCCATCCCCAGTTGCGGGGCAGCACATGTTGCAAATGCAGCGTGCAACATCGCCGCCATGAACTTGGAACTTGGGAGGTAATTGAGGCATGGAATGAGCTGAGCAGGATGCACCATCTCCATCGCACAACAACAAGGCGTGCGTTTGTCCAAAACGGCACTAAACATAATTTGCTGCTCATTTGCCGCATCATTCGATATTCCCGAGAAATCCATCCCCCCACTCGGAGGCATGCCTGCATCGCAGACACATTTCCGGGAGATTTTCCCCCCTAAAGCCACAACGCCCCAAAGTACAGAATCTGCAGAATTTGCACACTCAGCGGATGCTGAGGATTGAGGAGAGCCCACTTTGTTAGATCAACATTTGCCAGTCCGATTTATTTATAGCTATTAAGGATCTATTATGCAATCGGAGTGTTTACTTTAGCCTCGTGTGCATGATTTTCGAAAAGAGCAAGTTCTGATTTCAAGGCAACTACACTACTGCCTGCCTCTGCGTGGTGTATCATTTTCAAAGCATAAATTTGAAATGTACTGTTTATATTTGGGTTAGCACAGATCACACTCAATAAACAATTGGCCCAGCAACTATGTACTTGTACTTGTAGTGTAGGTGTGTTGCATTCGTTTTCCTGTTAAGGTTGCTGTTCAAAAATTTAGTGCTTTCCGCGGAATATTTTAGTTAAAACATAACAAACAGCCGTCCAGCCAAGTGGGGGCTACAATTTATCAGCATAGGTAGTGTCTTATATTTAGATTTGGAAATTTCATGAAGTATACAAGAAACTGCTACAATTTAATTCCAAAGAAATCTGGGGGTGATGCGGTTGCTGAATCAACTGAATGTATCTTAAATTCCAAAACGATCGTCTCGGCCAGAAGCTGGCCGGAAAGCTGGAGTCAAGTTCAAAGACGTCACGAGTCACCGATTTTGGCTTAATGTAATGTATATTTTTGGTCACTTAATGGCCACACACAGCCAAACAAGATACTACTGGCCAGATACCGAGTGCGTTAAAATGTTTAGTTTGTACCATTAAACTACAGCCATAATGGGGTCTCTCGGATGGGTTTTGTTGACCCGTCAGATGCTGGAAATTTTTATATCGTGGGCCTCACCGCCTGATCCAATCCCCTACCCGGCAAATTGTCTTTCAGATGGAATTTTCTTGCTTTTTATTCTCAAGAACTTTTCCATTAATCTAAATAGAAAACTAAAACGGAAAAATCATTGAAAACTGTGCTAACTGAAACTATCAGCATATGATTTCCTGCTAACTTTGATAAAGGCCCCAGATAGCGGGCACATGTCCCCAAAACACAAGCTGACGGGTCATGTGTTGGCCACATTTCATGACAGATCCGTAGAACAAAGCCGAGCCAGTGGAGGCCATAGATTTATCCCTGTCGTTGAGAGAGATTTTCGCTTTCAAGTGGCTAACGCACGATTTTCGCGAAAAACTTTAAAAAACTTGACGAATGGATGCGCTAACTGCCAGTTGGCCAGATACTGGCCGAGGAACAAGTTTCTGGCCTTTTATGTGTCGTTGTCGGGCACCGGTGACTTTATGACTCTGGGCACCGGCCGAAAATAAAACGCACGCAACGCTTGTGGTCAGGCAGGCAAAAGGCAACAGCCCCAGCAGTAACAGGGAAGACCTGCCTCGGATGAAGATTATAGGAAAGATAGGTCCAGCATGTGCGTGAGAGCCAATGGCCCGTCAAGATCTCTCGGCGGGCATCGCTGAGTGCTGAGCTGCTGCCCAGCCGTCAACTTTGAACCGGACTGGCGGTATCTGGCCTGTCCCAGCATCTCACCTCATCTGGGGAGCTTTTTCCCGGACAGCGAGGGCACTTCAAAGCGCACGCACTTCACCTACGCCGGCCAGCCCATCCGAACGCAACTCTTTGGGATAAATATTTACATTTCAATTGGAAATTTTGATTTGATTTGGTTTCGTTTTCTTTGGAGGAACCAACAGAGGCGGTGGTGGTGGAAAACAGAGACCTGTCGATGAGCTGGAGGCGGCAGGTGAGCTAATGGCACAGTTTCTGGGCCACCGTTTGAAGTGATTCGGTTGCCGGAAATTGAGATGTTAAAAGGGGAACTCAATTAAAGAGAAAATAAGTTAATTTTTCTTCACCATTTACCTTTTTCCGAATTTTTTAATAAATAAATGCTTAATTTCTTAAATTTGAATTTATTCACCATTCTCATAAATATCAATAAAAGTTTCAAGCATTATTGGTAATGGAAGCACTTTGCCAGGACGACTAAAGGAAGCAGCAATCAAGGCGCAAACACATTAGGTTTGAAAAATGTTGCAATTTTCATTAACAAACTTCAATTAAGTTGGCAATGTAATTTGGCATGCAAACAAAATGCTGGCCAGGATAATGGCAGTGGCAGTCGCGTAGAGTCAACAACCAACAGGAGAGCCTGTTGCACAGTGAGCACGTAGCCAGGATGCGAGAACATCTCACACCCACACCACACCCATCCTCTGAGAATCAAATCCCTGCATGTGTGGACAGTAGATTCGAGGTGGATGAGGAGGAACAGGGAGTAAGGACGTCAGGAGGAGCCGTGTCAAGTGTTTGCGCATGTAGTTCAAACGGAATTAAAATTCCAATTGACACAGTAATTTGCTGGCAACACAAAAGGAATCAATTTCATGCCAAACACGAACTCCAGCCACTCCTACTCGGATGGCAGCTACATCTGTCGCGATTGGATGGATGGATACATGTTTGTCGGATGCTTACCACAACCGCCTCGATAAATCCATTTTGCGGCTTCTTGGTGTCGGTGGCAGGACAATAATCGTCACCGTTTTCGGGTGTCCCTGCTCTCGCGGTAAATATTTGTGTCGGGCCCGGTTCTGAGTGGCCTAACAATTGAGAGTCATTCGACGTTTGCAGCCACTTGAGTTTTTAATTATTTTTTCACACTTGTCACACTATGCTTCTGAATATTGGCAGTAATTGATTGGGTTCGACACTTTGCGCCTGCGCATTGCCGAAGGACAATGGCTGGGGTATCGCGTATTATCCTCGCACTCGAACTCGATCTCGATCTGAATATGGATCGACACACACCCGCAGGGTTAGAGCGCACGCCAGCAACTGATCGACTCGGAGCGTATACGATCGCTCTAATTCTGTGCCACTGCCAGCAACATCATCAGCAGCAGAAGCATCGGCAGCAGCGGCGGCAGTAGCAACAGCAAAAGCAGCACCAGCACCAGCACCAGCAGCGTAGCGATATCGGGCATGGGGCAGAGCTGCAAGTAGCTGCGATAGCGCCACAAAGGACGGCTGCTGTTTCCGCCCCTCTAATCGCACCCGAATTGAATGGGTCCCCGTCTCGCTGTAACGTTGCTCCGATCCTAAAGGCAACTATAAAATAAGCCAACTTTACGAGCTGCGTCTGATCCTTCGCCAAAGCAACCGGCTTCGTGTAGCCCCCACCAGAGACTGAAGCGGAGTTCGGGCTGGTTTCTTTTTTTTTGCACCACCAGACGATCGTGGCACTGCAACTGGTTCTCGACGACTCTCACTGATCTTCATGCGCTGCACGTGTGCGAGGCATCCAATCCGATCCGATCCGATCCGATCCGAAGTGATTTAGTGGCCCTGCCCCTCGCTGTCAAGACGAAACAGGCGTTACTAATGAGCCGCCCTGACAAACACATGTCGACAACATTGGACATTTGAATATCCTTAACAAATCCTTGTCATAACTGAACCACCGAACGGCAGCATCTCGATTTCGGATGCACATGTGCTGATGTGCTGGGCTTACTCTGATTCACAGACAAATTTAGGCATTCCGACCATATGATCCGCTCCATGGCGGGATAATTGCAGTCTGGCATTGCACGAGCGGATCAGTTGGCCCCAGGGCATCGATTACACCCAATTGGTAGAGTTCATTCATGAAATTCACATTTTTTTGCGGCTCAACAATGATTTCCGCATTCCTAATGGCCGCCGAAACTAAATATAGCCATATCCAAATATTAATCTCAACCACAAGCATTTCCGCCTGCCTATCCGAAAACTATAAGATATTGCGTTTCGGTCCCAAAACCGAAAAGAAACTACAACTTTGAATTTCTTACTCATTAAAGCTGCGTAGCGGTTATATAAGCCTTCCCTTACGTTCTATATTTATACACTCCCTTATCGGGTTTAGTCCAGGGAAAGTCGGTCCCAGTTAGCTAACAAGGAGAATAAAAAAAAGTTATCCACATTTCAAGGCAAGAACGAGTGTGGAGAATAGCGATACAAAGTATATAGAACGTTCTTGGCGATCCAACAAATTCGCACACATATTTGCATCCAATATAGTCCATAGGAGACATTCATTCATGAATGTAGGACTAGGCCCCAAATGACAGAGATCTAGCGGAAGCCGTTTATCTGAAAGAAGTCGCTATGGTCTACGGACAGTCGCCCGCCTTGGTGTGGGTGAACTCCAATTAGCATAGCTCTGACCCATTTTGAGCAGCTTCCGTCAAGGGGCGTCCCAGCTACAGAGTCCCTTATCAGCTGCCAGTTCCGCTGGGCTGCGGCTGCGGCTGAGTATCGGTATCCTAAGCGCTAGCTAAGCTAAGCATGTGGGTGAAGGGTGGCAACAGCGGCAGCACTCTGATCAACAGGAAGTCGATAGTTGATTGTTTTATATAAACAGAATATATTAATAAAAAACTAGAGATACGATAACAAGGCAGAGGCTGTGCTTGACAAAAGCCCATCTATTAGAAACCTGGATCCCAGTCCGTTTTCTGAGACTCCATGCGCGTGGTGTAGCATTGCAGAATGTCGCCAGCTTCGGGCAACACTTTGGTGTCCTTCAACCGCAACCCGCACTCGACGTCTTTCTTGATGGTATCCACCTCGTTCTTCAGGTGTCGCATGGACTCCAAAGATCCGTCGTAGACCGTTTCCCCATCTCGTAGCAGTCTAAACTTCTGGGCCTTCTTTAGCACCCCTTTGGTGCAGCGGCATCCTGCCACGGGCACCTCTTTGCGTCCCTCGTTGATGAGGAAGTTTTGCAGGACATTTGCCTCGCCCAGCACCTCCTCCACCTCCACGGGTGGCAGCTTGTTGCTAAGCTGCTCCTTAAGGTCGTCGATCAGCCGGTAGATGATGTTGTAGCTTCGTATATTCACATCTTTGGCGAACTTTGGTTGCGGGGCCTCCACGGCGAAGGCATAGATTATGGCATCGAATGCCTTGGCCAGCTCTAGATCTCCCTCGGTCACATTGCCCACTCCATAGTGCACGATGTCCAGGCGGCAGTTCTCATTGCTGTTGTACGTTTCCAGCACATCCAGTATGGCCTCCACGGATCCGTGCACATCTCCCTTGATGATTACACTGACCCTTGGCTTGCCCTCGTTATCATCCAACTGCTTCACTCGCTGACCGCCCCGGACCCGGAAACGTCCGGCCAGTCTGCGAGCTTCTCGTTCAGCCCGGTACTTGGCCTGGTGCTCCTCCTCCTTTTTGCGGATTTCGTCGCTGCTGGACTCGATCTTTTCTCGCTGCGCCTCGTGTTCCCGGTACTTCAGCACAGCATGGGCTTTTTTCTAAAAAATTATAACTCTATTAATGGCTTGGGAAACTATAGATGGCAATCAAACCTACCTCTGTTTCCACCTCGAGTATGAGCTCACCAGCTAAAGGCAGCTCCCTCCAACCAAGAATCTCCACAGGGGTGCCTGGAGGAGCCTCAGTCAGCGGCTGGCCATTGTGGTCGAAGAGTTCTCGCACCTTGGCATGCGCTAAACCGCTTAAGAGTACGGATCCCTTTCGAAGGGTACCTCGAGAGACGATGGCCGTGGAGAGCTTTCCACGTCGTGGATCCGTTTTGGACTCTACCACTATACCCTCGACCAGACCCGTAGGATCCGCCCTTAGACCCATCAGGGTGGCTTGGGTGCTGACTGCCTCGGCCAAGAGCTGCAAGTTGGTTCCCTTTAGGGCTGAAATGGGTATCACCTGGACATCCCCGCCATGCTCCTCGAGTGCCAGACCCATTTGGGTAAGCTCTTGCTTGCTTTTCTCCTAAAATATATTATTAAAGGATTACAAGATTACCGTCCAGGTTACTTTCTATGAACTTACAATATTGGCCTCGGGCTTATCAATTTTATTGAGAGCCACGATAATAGGAACTTGCGCCTCTTTGGCCAGCTGTATGACTTCACGGGTCTGAGCCATTACACCATCTTCGGCGGCTACCACCAAAACAATGATGTCCGTGGCCACCGCACCTCGAGCTCGCATGGCGCTGAAGGCAGCATGTCCGGGGGTGTCCAGGAACGTGACTCTTTCTCCGTTCTCCAAGGTCACAGTAAACGCGCCTATGTGCTGCGTTATGCCTCCAGCTTCGCCAGCGGCTACATCGGCACCTCGCAGAGAATCCAACAACGTGGTCTTGCCATGATCGACGTGTCCCATAACTGTGACCACTGGTGGACGGGGTTTCAGCATTTCTGGTGAAGCCGGGGGTCTGGGCGTTACATCGCGCTCCTTTTGGTCATCCTCGGTGGCATTGTCTGGTGTGGCCACCACCCGAGTCTTGACCGCCAACTTCTTAGCTATCTCCTGAATGATTTGGAGGTCTGCGATCTTTGCATCAGGCTCAATGTTATCCGCGCCCTTGACATACAACATGGCCTCCTGGACGTTATCTGAAAAGGAGTCCTGTGTTAACTGGACAAAGAATGGACGGCCTATTTAACTTACCCAAAGACCTGTCCAGCTCCTTGGCCAGTTGGGCCACACTCATGTGCCGCCATACATCTGCAGAGTCGGATTTTCCCGGTTGAGCCTTCTTTGGGGAGTACTCTATAATTCTGGGGGATTTCTACGACAATTAGTGAGTGGGTTCTCGAATTTTTGAATTCCACCGGCTTACAGTTTGAAGAAACTGTACAGTGGCTCCCAAACCTACCTTCTCCTCCGCTGTTTTCCGGCGCTTCAGACGCGATGCTGAGAAGTGGATCTCCCGGACTAGCAGTGGTGATGGAAATCTGGGCGCAAGGACCATAGTCCTGGAATTCTGGGTTATTTTATGCTTTCCATAAATAATCTCGCTGTTTATTTCGAAAGAATTCGTTACATAAAACCGGCTTACAGCCGGCAGCCGCTGTCTGTCCACTAGATTGGCGGCTGTGGCTAAATAGAAGCGATTAATTGAGATGTAATTTCTTTGATAGGGTTAAATAATTACCATTTCGTGCTACGAATTTCCCAATTTTCAACATTTTCCAGCCAACTTGAACAAAAAGAACAGCTGATTACAGATGTGTACGTCAAGACATCTTCAACCTAGTTAACATGGATGTGGAACAATGGAACAGAAACATGTACTAAGAAATCGGGTATTTTCTTTTGTGGTCCTTTTTCATATCAAGTTGGGAACCAGAGCCATAGAACGGAAAATAAAAGAAATAAGGAGATATTAGAGAGTTAATGAAATTTAATTTTTAAATTCGCAACAATTTTTCAATATTTATTTCATGGTCAAAATTTGGTGTTGATCGGATATAATTTTGCAAAAACAAGATTCTGAAATAATCGTGGTTTCGCGATGTCATAAAAGTTCTATTGTTTTTAAGGTAAATTTTAAAAAAAAAGAACCGAAATGAGAAGCTCCATCAATTTTTTTTTCAATAAAATACAGTAAAAAATACATTATATACAGTATTTTTTTTTTAACCTGTTGGAGTTCTGAGCGTTTTTTCCCGCGGTTCGATTCGAACCAACAAAAAAAGTCGCTGCTAAAAAACGCGCGACTTTCTGCATCTCGAGTGTTGAAAGACGTCAAAAAGTGGAATTTCCGCGCGAAATTTTTCAACACTGGCGCCCGTCAAACAAAAATTTTGCACTCAAACTTGCTCGTCGAACCAAAATTTTGCACTCAAACTTGCTCGTCGAACAAAAATGTTGTAACATTTTTGGATGTGGAACAGAGAAAAAGAAACATGTTCTAAGATTTAGATCTATCTAGGTGGCGCTGCTTAAATACATGATCTAAACGCTAGGTGGCGCCTTGAAAATTTGGAACTAAATTTAAGCTTAACCAACTTTTGGGGCGCCATCTGCAGTGCCAAAATTTGAAACTTCCCATCACGAAAAATGGACAAAAAATCTTATAAATCTTAAAAGTCTCAGGATTTTGATGCAGAATGGTGGCAAATCGATCTAGAAATCGTTTAAGGTACTCCGCTTGAGAATCGGATCAGAATTGGGGAAGATATAGTCATCACTGTGGCCCCTATAGGGGAAAACCCCATTTTCAAGGGATCCCTTCACGAAAAATGGACAAAAAATCAAAAAATATTTCGTCGCAGGATTTTGACGCAAAATGGTGGAGAATCGAGCTGGAAAGCTTTTATGAGTGCTTTTCGGTTCGAACTTTCAATGTTAAAAATCTAACAGAAGGAAATTTCTGTTAAATACTAACAGAGCTTGAGCGGGAAAATTTGAATTGTGACCAAAATAGAAATTTTGGGCGTGCCACGCCCTAAGTTGAAAATATCTATTAATTTTCAATTTAAATAGTACAGGTCAAGAATATATACTGGAAATACTGGTACATACTGTGGAGTACGTTCAATTAAGCTTCTTAAAAACTTAAAACTATCCCACCATATTTTTCAATTAATCGGATAATAATTAGAAAATACTTTTAATTTAATTGTGTTTCTCCCTCGCTGCTGCGTGAACGTCAATCAGTGCCAATGGGGCTTCAACTACCATTGCCACCTAGTTGCCCGATATCCGAGGCATATGTGGAGGTCGATGGGGGAAGGACTCGGCAGTCCCTACTCTCGACTGGGAGCCCTTCTCGTGACTGACGCTGAATATGCCACTTAATTCGGTTTTGAAGCGAGTTGCATGTCAAAATGATTGCTCTTCTGCAAACAGCGCATCTGTGTTTGAATTATGATGGAGCGCGCAAATATTCCAGATGCAAATATTTGCGCAAAACTACACACACGCAGGCTCATTCCCTCGCACACACACACCACCACGTCCTCACGCAGGCGGGCTGACTTAAAGTGCAGAAGCTGGCCAGGAGCAGGACCCCCTGGTAAGCCACCCAGTCCAGGAGGGCGACTAATGGGAGGCGTGCTAGCTTGGCTGGCCCAAGCACTTTTCAAAATGTGTAACCGGCACTGACTGACTCTCGCCGGCTGAGGACGAGCCGGACTCGTTTGGCCGGAGCCAACATGCAATGTTCCTGTTACTGGGCTGCTGGTGGCAGTGGTGGTGCCGCTTCTTCTGTTGCAGACATCCGCTGCCGGAAATACGCTTACAAACGCAACCAGCACGTAGCAGGCACTCCGTACCAGGAGTCCGGACAGGGTGTCTTGTCTGCGAAAGAAGAGGGTCCTGCCCGAGCGGAGCACCTCCGTGCCAGCCTTCCTCCCAGCGCCCTGCTTCCTGTTCGTCCTGGCCGTCGTTTGTTTACTTTGCAGCGCAAGAAGACGGCTGCGACGCAAAGAACTCAAACAAAATATAACTGCTGGAAGAAGCTGCAGCTCCGGCAGCAGGTTCCAGTTCCCCCAAGTGGGGTGAGTGGGGGGGCGCGTGCACAGAAAAAGTTTACAATTTATCTAGTAAAATGTAATTAGGATCCTGGGTGCAGGCTTTCCAACGCTGAGCCCCTCGTTCCGGCGATGACTCAGGTTTTAAGTGAGCTTCCTGACTTCAACTTTAAGTTGGAACGGAGGCTCGAGGACTGGTACTCGTTCAAAGGACTATAATTTATGGATGGAGGAATTCTGCTAAAATGTTTGGCTAGTAATTTCGACAAATTATTATTTATATTCAAGTGGTTAAATATTTGAAATGGCTAATACAATATTAGAGATTTTCATTAAGAACCCTTTTAACTGAAATTTTTAATTGGGTTTTAAATACATTTGTTAGATCTAAATAAATCCATAAGCCCAAAAATACTCCAAAAACCAATCCAATGTTTTTCCAAAATAGTTGACCATCCCATGGAACATATGGGATGCATATCTTAGCTAATCCGTTTCCCATTAAAGCTCTACTAACCAAAGTGTTTGTCTTGGTTGCATCTTAATTTCGCTGCCACAGACATACAATACGCTTGTATGTATGTAAATCCACGCATACGAGTATTCGGTTATTTGCTGAGAAATTGATTTTCGTTAATTTCTGCCACAGCGAAAATGGCGTGCAACGAGGGTCGCTCCAGCAGTTGGCGAAGTTGCTTAGACCACAAGAGGGGCAACTTTTTGGGCAGCCGGTGCCCAAGACATGCGCAAGAGCGACTGAGATACAGATACTCACAGATACACACGCACACATGCGGGCACAGATACTGGAGAGATAGAGAGAGAATGAGGCGAGACGGAGATGACGCACACACTCGCATTCCGGCCGACAAGGCGGAGCAAAGTAAACAAGCATGGCCGAAAATGTTTGTTGCCCATAATCTGATACAAGAGCCAACACAGATACACGCACACACTCTCAGCTCGCATCTCGCAGCTCGCCACTGGCTGGCTGGCTGCGGATTTAAGGCCAGCCACCGCTCCTCGCAAGATGTGCCAATTTTTTGGCCAGGTGTTAATCACAGAAGCCATGTAATCGCTTTTGGTAACTCAGCTGCTCGTTTTTTTGGCAATAATGCAGGCTCTAAGTGCCCGGCCAGTCGGGCGTTGGCAAGCGATTCTCTCGAATTTGGCCACAATCGACCTTAAATTGAAAAGTAAAATAAATTATATTTGCCATTGACTTTTGTTGAAATATTTTTAGAATTGAGCAATCTAATGGCAAGCTGAGAAGTTGCGAAAATTCAATTAAATATACAATTACAAAGATTATTAAGATTATAAAGATAAGATTAAAAAGATTTTTTATTAAATAAGGTTATTTTATATAGTTTTTTTATACTTATACCTAAACATTTGATGTACTTTTCTATGTACCAACTTTTGTAGATAAAAATAATCTATTGTTATCACAAAAAAAATTGTTTACTAAATAGTTTTCTAAAATAATAACTAATATAGTTTACTAATAAATAATAGTTTTCTAAATAATTGGAATAATTTATTTGTAAACAATAAGAAACTACCACTTTAAATTATTGGTTTGAATTTATTAAATTTATTAAATTTAAACAAACTCCTAAATAAATACCGTATATTTAAGTTATAAAGTGAGGCTTTGGCAGCCTATTAAAAAGCATCGGCCCATGACTTGGAGACCATCGGAAACTAAGACCATCCCTTTATAGCTATATCTCTTTTTAACCTATCGTCATCCAGTAGGTTTCAAGCATCATCCGATTATTGTCCTCAGCCAAGCATAGTGTCGAAGTCCCCTTTAAAGCAGACTAAAATATTACTTTTGGATTCATTTTTATTTTCTGCATTTCTTACTACGTATCCAAGATTAAAAATATCTATATTTTATGAAGAATGCTATTCAATGACTATAATAATTATAACAAGCTCTTAAGCACTTATAAGAACTATCTTTTTCCCTAAGGTACCAACTACTTCAGGACCTATTTTTGATTTTTTTTGCAGTTCCTTTTCCGCTCGCTCACCTCGTTTGATATTAAATTGAAGTGCAGTCTTCGAGTGGCAAGTCCAATCATCGCCGATTGATAGGCACTCGAACTAAAATGGAAATTTTTGAAGCTCTTTTTTAATTGAAGAACATTTGCAGCTAATTAGTGGGAAACCCCGCCCTACAGGTGAGATCGGAGGCTACCGATGGAAACGGCCCTGTCACATAGAGACACTTGAGAGGGCGAAAACTTTTTGGACATCGCTGCACTTCAAAGCTGCGACCGGCACTTGAGGAGGAAAAGTGTCTCCGGGTATGTGGCCACTTGAAGGCACCTACCACAGCGTCGGCATCTCGACGGTTTTCAGTTTGGTCTTGGGACGGGGACCGGGCTTGGGTTTGGCGGAGCTCTCCTCTCGATGATCGGGCCGATGTTTTTGCCAGCCGACAGGTAATCATCAGTGCGATGGCGGCTTTCAAATATAAGCA